ATTGGGAACTTTTTCAGTGATCACCAATTATCTCAATGTTTTGAATTTTACGTACTATACTGCCGTTAAGAAGCTCTTCACATTCCCGTCAATAGAATCCGTGTTAGCAAATATTGTATCTGCTTTTCTATGAACGTCTATGTTCAATATGTTCTCCTTCCTTTGCTTATGGCAGTCTAGAGCAACGCTAGAGTTTTATGCCGCGGTACGAATTCTCGCAGTAATTACAGTGTTTTGCTCCTAGGAGTCTAGGAGACTCTCTTCGTAGCACGTTCAGTTGCATGCGCATGTTAAATTCAGACGTGGTGCTCGAGACTAAATTGGAGTACGGTAGGAGCCATTGTTTGCAGCTTCCATCATTCTAAGCTCAAGTCCTGAAGACCACAGCCGTATGGGCTGAAGGCCTGTATAGAAGTCAGCAATCGTCGCTGTGTGAAGAGAGAGGTTTCTTCATGTACCTAGTTTCCTACTCCCTTTGCTTGCGCTATTCTAAAATGATCCTAATACAGAGTACCACGAGGTCCTATGGTCATTTAGTCTGTCGCTTTACGTCATCATGGACTTGTGCATATAAATACATAATTCGACGTAAAAACAATGTAGCGTGAAAAATTTGTTGCACGTTCACTTTTAGAGACCCATTTCTTCCCGTCCTCAGATAAAGGCACACGGTAGCTAATTACTTTACGAGACCTCAATGTCGTGTTCCGCGTGCAAGCCCTCGCGTTGACAACGGTACATACTCCTTGTCGCCAAACTCCACTGCAATCTAAAAGGGACCCGCTTGCGTATGCCTTCAAGAACGCGGCAGGTAGTCACAGAGTTGTAATCGTATAGTGAAATGGACGGCAGCAGTAGCGGCAGAATCCATAGCATCTTTTTCAGGAGCGGCATTTGGGGCCCTAGAATGAGATCCTCTCGCTCCACTATGGCAGACCCTCCTTCCCTTCTCCTGACCTGTCAGTGTCGACTGCCTGATAGGCTGAGGACGGTTATGTTAGTAACAGCGGCGGTGGCTCGTGTGTAGAACCGTAGGCCTTCGTAGAATGGCTTTTTTCTGGTTGCGCAGAACGGCTGCTAGCGATTTCAAGCAAGTGGATGCACTGTCACCCATCCGATAACGGCCTGAGCGTCAACAGCAGCCGAAGTAGCAGCTTTCGAGTCTGAGAGACTAAGTTAGTCAAAGGAAAGACGCGAGCGATACAGTAAATAGCAGCGAATAGTAGAAAAGACGGAAGAAAATAGACAGGGAAGTTGAATTAGCCGTAAACTGATTCAGCTATTAAAAAGTCGAAGTTCGTTTGCGAGACTGAACTAAATGAAGCGTTAGGATTGAAGCGACGTCAGAGGACTTTTGCAACGAAGTGTGCATTTAGAAGTGTGTGTACACGGCTTGCGTGTCACGCGTTCGGAGTCAGATGTGGCCGGCCGTTTAAATCTTTCCTATAATGTCTATCTGTGGTAGCCGTTCTTCAGCAGTTCCAGACATAAATTTCGAAACACTTAAATCAGTCATCGTTCTACCTACGCCAACTAGCCAGTGTTTTGAACAAGATACACCACGATACAATGTCGAAAATAGACAAAGGGGACGCAAGCCAGTCTAATCAGACAGACGGTCCTAGTGCCATTTGTTCTAACTTGTGGGTGCCATATATCGTCAGGAAAGAGAGGTAGTAATTTTTATTTTAGAAGAACGCAGCGCCAAAGCAAATTCGATCGTCAAAAAACAACTGCTTTGTTGCATAAAGTTGTGACAATATTGATGCCACCTCTCAACTCCTAGCAGTAAATGGGTCCATCTGTGCTTCTATCTCTATAGTGTTAAACACTGCAAAACAGCTTAATAACATGATGGGATGATATTGAGAAATGATCTACGCAAGATCGGTATTATCTTTTCCAAAGGGATCTGTGTTACTATGTTGAAATTCAAAACAAAGTATAGCAGAAGTGTCCAACGTCAACAGCATAAACACTTGGCAACATAAGTAACACCCATTACCAAACAGCGGAATTGCTGCTTAAGGCGACAGCTATCCCCTACCCCTTGTTCTTTAAGAACACAACGCTAACATCGATTGTACTAACAGCCGTTTAAATCCGGCTGCAGCTCGAACCATCACTGAAGCAGCCCATCTTATGGCAGGACAAGTGCCAACGACACCATTTTTTGCGGTCGTCAGAACTATGTTACTACGCGATTAATAATCGAATCATATTATATATATATATTTATACCAGATCCATTAAGTGGTCTCAGTTAGTCGCGGCCTTACACGTGTACATTGGCAACAGTTGCAACTTTTTGTAAGCGTTGTTGTGTGTATGTTAACTTAACTCAGTAACAGTTGACTAAGTTATAAATGATCGATATCCGAGGGATCGTTTCTTCTGTCTGTATGTCTTCTATCAGCTATATATCAAATATGTACACAAAATGTACACGGGCATTGTCAATAACAATAATGTATACATTCGTTTATCCATCCAGCCGTGCCTATAAGCTTCCACTCGTCTGAGCGTTGCGGGGATATTAATCAGTTTTACGTTTCCGGCCTCATATTGTAAGACGAATCAATAACGTCGACTTCCAATACTCAACATACATTCCGGCAACGACGGTTCTGCTTCAGCTGAGTTCGCAATCGTAGCAGTGAGCGACTTTGATGTCCTGTGCCTGTGCCGGTGTCCTAGGCCATCCGTCAAACTTTTGGGTAACCCCCGTAAACGTGAAGCGTACTAAGGACTAGCAGCAAGATAGCAGAAGCCAACAGCTGTCGCCTCATAATCAACAACTGTAGATACCAAAGTTTTCATGTAACTATGTAAACGAGGCAATGCGGAATAGTAAAAGAGCAAACACACATGTAAAAGATGTAAAGAAGCTAATGTAAAAGTCTTTTATAGAGAAGACCATCTGCAGAAAATCATCGACTGTACAAATCGTTGTAGGAGAGCACTGTGATAGAAAAGCCGACAACTGCCAAACACGCTCACACAAAAGTTGTTCAAGAGACGAAGACCATTGTGACGAGAGACCGAAATGGAAAACTAAACGCGACTGAAATCGAATTTATCGTAGTGAAGATTTGCCACTGTCGAAGGCCACGGTAACCGTAATACCGGGAGTGTCAATTTGAAATCGATCCAAACTAGGAATTCTTATGAGTCAACTGTCATGTGCAGGTACGCATGCGGTGGGTAATGATCGAACCCGTAATCTAAAACTATATACTTGTGTATTAATGAAAGCTACGTAGAAATCGGCAAGAGTATGCTATTGTCCAATGGGGATCTTCCCTAACATCTGGATTATTCATTAGGAATGACAATAACCTTAGCGATAGTTTTCGAAAAGTTCCTTTTCTGTTACCACTCCTTTACGTATCGAACTTCGCAACAAACTTAGACGCTCGTCAACAGTCTTATGAGCAACGAATCTTTAGGTTCGAGGGTTTAGACAGAACACGACGAGCTCCCTCTGTGCAAATAACGCCCATTTGCATTATGTTAATACGAACAGGGTACGGAAATAAAGTACAAAGCTAACCGAACGGCTTTCTTTACTCCTACTTGTGCCTAATGAAGAAATTGATTACAGTTTATTTAGTTAAGAGCACCATTGCTTTGGTCAAAGCTAAATAAGCATCTTTATTGTCTTTTTTCCTCGTTGTCGTCGTCGTCGTCCTCATCAGTGCGGCCGTCATCATGATCTCGTAAACGAACCAGTCCTTTCCGGACGCGGCCGTTAAGAGTAATAAGACCACCTACTTTCACGGAAAGGGTATGGAAATGGTGATAGCACACAGAGCACAAAAGGGATAGAGACGGCGAGTACTACAGCGAGAATCGGTTACGCGTTCCTGTTCGGTACTACTGCGCCTATTACGCGCGCCTTGACACGATAAGAACGTTGCCTTTCTTCCGCGTCGTTACTTCTGCAAATGCTGTGTTATGCAATTGAAGGCTTCGATGTCCTCGATGCTGTTCCTCCATACGAATGCGAGCTTGTGCGTGCGCGTCTGTTGAGGCCTGACGCTTTCCCTTCCGCTGTAGCACAAAATCGTGATACGTATGAACAGGGAGAGGAAAGGAGACCGTAGTTGTTGCAGTGTTCGGCTGACGCGGCGCTCTTACCACTACCGTCGTCATTATATTCGTTTATCAGCTAATAATCAGAGTTCAGATGAGCAGAGAAAGTTCAGAAGTCGTAATTAGAAAGAACTCACGGTCGATGTAAGGTCACCACGAGCCCCTGTCAACAACCAGTGATAACTACTCGTAATGGGCGTCTGTCAGATTCCCCGACGTTTAGTCTGCCTCTATTGCGGTGTGCCTCAACTACTAACTAATAATTGGAGAAAATTTTTTTTACGAGTTTCGATGATCACGGAGGAAATATCTATATGTAGTCACAGAAAAATTTGCTGGTCATTTGCCGAAAATGATAAGGTGATACAATCGAGAAGGCGGCTACGGCTTCAGCGATAACTCTTGCCATTTACACTTGATTACCTAAAGAACAGGCATGTACTAATTAAGGGACGAGATCAAACACGAGATTACTGACTTAGCAATAATTTATAATAAAAATCGCTAAATTATTGCTACGCAATGATAAAAGCCTGAAACTCCAATGGTTTTTACTAGCCATAATGGCGGTGTCGACTACTTCGTGCCATAACCATATGTACGTGCTTAGCTCGTGCGCATGCTGTGCAGCTGTCAATAACTAAAGGAAAAATCCGCTGTTTAGAACTATTCTATAATGTAATATTCATCTTTTCCAAAGCGAAATCAACAAAGCTAGAGGGGTTAGTGGAAACTCGGGTTTTAACTAACGATCCCAAGTTGATTTCGAAGGTTACGATCAACGTTCACAGACCAACACATAGGTTCGAGCAGAGGGTGTACCCACATCTGTATTCACCTACCGTTGTTTTTGTGTACGTTTTTCCTGATTTTGTTTGTTTCTATCTTCCTCTTGTGTGGTCTAGGGATGGTCGACTGAGCGAGGGCGACAAGGTCGTGGCGATCAACGGGACCCGTCTCAGCGGACTCGGCCATCGGGATGTCGTCCAACTGCTTCAACAGTACAGCTGCAACAATAACAATCCCCCAGCAGCAACCTGTGAGCACAGCAGTAACCTCCAGCAAGCAGGAGGATCAGACTCGCTTGGAACAGCAACGACGAAGATTGGAACGAACCTAGTCAGTATACTCGTCGACACCAGCCAGCAGCTGCACAGTCATCAGGAACAAGTTCAACATCTCCAGCCACAGCATATCGGCTGCCTCGACAACAACGACCTCGTTAACAGCTGCTGGACAAGTGACGGAACACCTGCTGGTCCCATAGGCCAGCTGCAAAGCGGCGAGTTCGTACCGGAAATGGTGGTAAGTAGCGAGCATATTATGATTGTCGGAAAGATGAATATTTTCATGTCTAAAGAAGTAAGTAGAGAACTAAAGCAGAATTAGTTAGCTGTAGCTATTTGCATTAATGATTTTTTATCTTGCGCCATTAACTTATCCGTAGAGTCCTGTTGTCTTTAACCAACCTTGTAAATCTGCGTCGAAGAGAACTGACCAACAACGAACAGCTGCGACAGCAGCACCAGGACGCTATCGCATATCAGCCAATCAGGCAAATTACACTCGGTCGCCTGAGCAGAAAACAAGTGTTCTCCGTGTTTGTATCGACCAAAGTGAGGGTGGCCAGGCAATGGGGATCTTGACAATGGCGCAAGTTCCGGGCTCTCAAAGCTTGGGAAGATGGTTTTGAAACCGACGCGATAGAAGATGGTAGCTGTCGCCAGCAGCTACTGTTTCTGTTATTACGGCTATAAGTGATTATGTCGTTTTCCGATGGGTGGCTGTTCAGCTGAGTAATGGACTGCATAAGGAGGAGAACAACGCCTTGGTAACTCTGTAATTACGCGATGGACGAAGATCTGTAGAAGCCCATGGTACACTATAACAAAAAAATCAGAAAAGCAACACTTAAGATAATGAGTTAATATCTACAAATGCATACCTATTACTGAGACGAAATAATACTAGCCACTCCTGGGAAATGTATGCATTATGCAGCCATACATGTCGTGCGAGTGTCCTCAGCGCGAGGGCCACCGAGTGGCTGCTATCGGTGTCAACAACGAAGCTTTTCTATGGACCGAAGCCTTTTTCTGTGTACTTCGCGGGCGGTAATGCGCCTTGCACGGAATAAAAAGTATAATAAATTTTCTATTCTTCGAGTAGACCAACCTCTAGGAGTAATGTGTCGTGATGACATTTTTATCAACTTGGGTTGGCTTCTGCCAGATAGTTTTTGTTGATTTTAGCGCTCCGCCTTATCTGAAAGTCACGTTTGGCAGTGTTGCCAGAGAAGGTATTTTTGCTTTGGAATTTTGCTGGCAATTTTAATGCGGAACGTTTCCCGCGTAATTAGATGTTATATAGGCCATGATCGCTAGAATTACATCGTTATTGTTAAACTATTATAAGTTAATCATATTGACATTTTATGTCCCTACGGCTATTCACTTACTGTAAAATGAAATTACCCTTGAGGATTTTATATACGATGATCGACAAGTATATGTAGGTATAGTTCAAAAACGCTGTGGGAGGTTGCAACCTAACCTAGCCTATCGTAGTAAAATCTATGTTTGTGTTCTATGAATATAATACCAAATATTGATATATTAAAATAAAAGAAATGAAAAACAGTTCCGAAAATATAGTTTGATCAGCTCTGCTTAATATTAACTAGACAATTCAGTATTTTGACCAAGGGCTCAAAAGTCAAAAACAAACAAGGAAATCTACAATGTATTAATGATTATTATTTTTTGCATATATTAAATGCAAAGCTTTATTGATGTAGAACGAGCGCGTTTAGGAGATGATAACACTCGCAAGAGTCTACGAATTCAATGAAGGCACATGTTTTGCTGGACGTGTAACAGGTTCGTTGTAAAAGAGCATCCGCATACTTTACTATAACGAATTGCACTACGTTTGGTGAGTATATGACTTGCTGGCTCGTTTTTTTTTACTCATTTGTGCCTTGTTAAATGGAAATCCATACCTCAGCTAGAACGCTTGTTAAGTCATATCACCACGATGGGGGACAGGCAGCGCGCACTTGGGCGGCGGAGGCGGCAGAGGCAGGAAGTACTTGATCGAGTTTCGGTCAAGTGACGGGGTGGCCGTCTGAGGTTGCATAATTTCGAAACAGCAGAACGGTTATAGGAGCGTCGAGCACAATCAGTATGAACTAAGGATACTTAACGCGCGTTGCCATTGCAATAATCAGCCGCTTGGGCGTAATTACGTTGTGATAACGATGAGAATAAGGAATTGTTTGAAACCCATAGTACAGACGAACAGGAGAGAACAGGGAGCGGCGGACAAGAAAGTCTACGAAAATGAAATGATTATTCATCATTCCTTCGACTCTCCTTACGGTGGAGAGTGATGCCCTATTATTATTAGCAGCCTCGTATTGCTGTTTCACCGAAACCAGATGTGATTTGTTATTGCCGATTATGTTTCTTTATAGGGGCATCTTATGCCCTGCAATAGGAAAAGATTATTAGTTCGAAATAGGCTTCCGTACATCTTGAGAGATCTTTGTAGGTTTATAGACTTACGATGACAGCCAGACAGGAAGTCTTGCAAAGTACTCTTCACTACACCGAATAGCACGGCTCAGTACGACCCATTTTACTTTTCTAGTCTTTTATGAAGTAAGGTTAAATGAATGATTTCTGGTTAATTTGCTGTAGGTACGATAACTTTTAGGATCCCTAAAGGACATTTCATTCTTTCAAAAATCTTGCGAAAATGATTATAGCATGTTTATTTGTTAGGTGAACAACTGCCGAAATAAGTAATTTTTAAAAAAATACTTCACCAAAAAATGTTGCCATATATCAGAGACGTCAAAATTTTGTTACTCTAACTATCGCTTTTTGCTTAAAGTAATAGATAGGTCTAGCGAGTACAGCCGTCGATTCAGTTTCACGACAAGTATACGGCGGAAAGTCTATAGCTAAGCGTTAGAAAACAGTGCCAGGTAACTTTAAATTGGTTGAAAAATAAAGAAAGAATACATTGAAATGGAAGAAAATGACAGAAGCCAAATGCAGTCTGCGAATGCCAAATTTGAAAGACATTCAAGAAGGACAGTGGAAATAAGCTGACCAAAGTAATGGGTCGGGAAAATCGACCCACCGTGAACAAGCAGCTGCAGCGGAACGTTCAACTCGGTCTAACACAAATCCAATTCGCCAATTGTAGAACAAGCTGATGGAACAATCGGCACAAGGCAGGCTGTCATCGTAGTATTCCGCTAGGAAATGAAATAGACCGAGCAATTGGTGTGTGTATTTACCTGAATATATATATTCAGTGCAGATCCTGGACTTGCCTTATTCTGCTCCACCAGAGTGTGTCTCAAATGCATCATCAGTTGAACACATAACGATAAGTCCGCTGTTGTGTCTACGAATCTAGACCCGCTAACTTTGCTAACGTACGAAACTTAGGTACATGCGAGGGGAATAATAGAGGTTCATGAACATTCCCAAAAGTGGGCCTAACGGTCTGGCTTGTTTTGTCCCTCAATTTCCAGCTGAACACGGAGTGGGCGCAGGTGGAGGCGATCGAATTGGTGAACGATGGCTCAGGACTAGGTTTTGGTATCATCGGAGGCCGAAGCACCGGGGTCGTCGTGAAAACCATTTTGCCCGGTGGCGTTGCCGACAGGGTAAATGCTATTTATTGTCATCTCTCCATATTCTTGCATAGAACGCTTGCAGTACAAATACAGGTACATCTAGATCCAAGGGAATGAACTACTGGGATGAGTAACTGCATCATACGAAAATACGACCAATACTGCGGCATGATACTGCCTCGTAGCAGACCAAATAGTCGAGCCCGTTATAATTTAAGTAAGTCAGCATCAGTTTTAGCACTTGTCTGCTTTCTCAAACTGGACATTTGCATTGAGTATGAGTGCAAACACGTTATTAATAATTGAGTTAGATTCCTTCATATGAATATATCTGATCGGAAGTAAGCATTGCCTTTAATAATATTTGCTCTGTGGCAGGAAACTGCGCCTTGACGAGCAAAACCGTGTAGGCATCTTTTCGCCCTTCTTTGTCCTACCTAATTTCGGTTGGTTTCGACCTATCTGACCTTGTTCTGCGTTTTATACAGCGTGCGGTTACTAGATTCGCGCCACAAATTTTACAAGAGTTATCTGTGATTAAATAGCAATTGCCATTTCATGCACGAAATCGTTTGCTGAATATGGCCGGGCTGGTTAATGGTAGTCCATAACTGGGCGTTCGGTTTTTACCCAGCGAGGGAGTCAACTACGCACGTTTTTTCACGATTATGGAAGACGATCCTTAAAAGTATACTTGAAGAAATACCTCCTCTCATGCAAATAGGAAATATCAATTTTGTGACCTCTGTCGGCGTTCTCAGAGAAACGACTACTGCAACCACTACCGCAACTGCCAGCCAAACTATATTTTTGTGACTATGATATACAAATATTCATTCAGATTGACAGAATCTAAGCTTGGGAATTTGATGGCCCATTTAAAGCAGGAGTAGGTTTCGTAGGAAAAATGCATCTTTAACAAGCTGCTTCCAAGAACATTATAAGGTGACAGGGTAGGTCAAAAGCTATCGTTGAAATAAGTAACAAAGCTGATCGATTATTATTATTCACGTTCAGTCTAAAACATTCTGTCAAAAAAATAGGCGGATTTTCAACAATACATAGGTCGTAAATGTCGAAACGTTTTGGTTAGGTTTGGGGTAGGTACAGTTAGCCAGTAAGGTTCAGAGGCAGGATAGCCAGCGTACCTTCGTGGGACTGAGCTGTTTGCTTTATCAGCTTTTGTGGCCTTTGGACATTTTTTGTCGAGCCTTTCCGGCAGACATGTTCCCTTCCCATTAAGGCACGCCCCGCTGATATGCTCTCGAAAAAGCCGTCCTTTATGAAATTGCAAGACAAAGAGTACACGTCATAGTAGGAACATATTCCCAAGCCAAGTAGCTAGATCGGCAGTGCAGAAGCAATTAATGCACTACATTATAGAAAATCGGATCAAGAATTATGTTTGTAGTGTACAGTTTCGATTGACAACAATTTACAACTAGAATTACTAAAAAAGCAGTTAATGCAGCGAATAGGTCTCTGAAGTGCCAACCAATAGTGCAATGTGTCCTAATTGGATGACAAATTAAACAAGCAGTTTCAGGAGGTGAATATCTGTCCTATAAGATGCAGTGCAAATGTAGAACGTCTGTCTAGGAAAAACGCATGCATGCAAGCTGGTTAGCCAAATGGCTACGATCACTTTTTAGCCAATAGGCCTGGTACGAACAAAGGTAATCGCATTGTGCGTGTACGACACGCTGCAGTCTGTTGTTAGTGAGGAAGGTCTCAATTATTCCGACAATTTGGTGAAGCAGAGAAACCAGTCGCTTCCAACCTATTCCTTTCTTGGGCCCGAAAATGCTAGTTTAACCGTCAGTGGCTCACTCCTCCGGAATCACATCCGCTAACCTGCGAAAGCGACGATGATGAGACACGAAAGTGATAGGGAAGGGGAACGGTTATCTTGTTTGGTCCTGGCGGCCTTAACTTAGTTTCTCGTCTTTATCGTTCCTTTTTTGTAAGCAAAACACGTGAGTCTAAAATGATCTCTAATAGGCTCTTTAGAGGTTGCCAATGGGCACCCTATCTAAGCAGCAACAGAAGGCGAACGGAAGGATATTGTCTCGGTGTGACCCTTATCCTGGCCTTGCCCTCGGATTCTAAAGATTTTAGAATTTTTTTCGTTTTTCGCACAGGATAATAAGACCATAAACTAAGCGACCTCTCCACTTCTATGCAGCTGCTGCTAGACTTGAAGGCCCTTTCCATTCACATATCCTTCACTGCATGTGACTAGTATTAGTAAGCAGTCAGCAGACGTTTTAGCTGCCGGTTTCCTGTTCCAGTTTTCCTCGTCCTTTGGGTACGCGGTGCAGCTCTGCACATTGTTGCAGGGACATCCGAACAAACAACAGTGGCACAAGAGGCAGGATGAAGTTGCTGGGCCAAATTCATTTAACAAAGTGCCCTTGCTATCTCTGTCAGAGAGAACCGATGAGTGCCAGATGGCAAAAAACGGCGTTCTTTCGACAATGGTCATATACTCAGGATGTTTGCTATTCGTTGGTCGGCCAGTGGTGCAGGTGGACGGTGGTGCCTGTAACGGGGACCCGACATGAGCGAAGAGGATCACATGCAAAGGTATAGGTGCAGTGCCCGGCCCGCAAAATGGGGAAACGTTACTGGGACAATGTTTTGGCCTTGCGGTTTTGACTGTGAGGATCGTTCCAGGGGCAGTAGCTGTAATAGTATTAGCTAGCTGTATTGATCGAAGTAACAACTGCGGTAGAAGTTGACCCGGAGTGATTAGAGGTAATGGAATCGATTATAGAGTTGGCTTCGTTTCGTCACGACGCTTCACCGAATCACCGGTGCTAGCTAGGTCTTATATTAGCCTGGACAGCAAGCTTTTCTCCTGCGAACTCGGTCGGATGAAAGAACGAAAGCGATGCAATTGAGGAACAGTCTTCTTCGATAGGAAACGAACGACGGAAAATTCGAAGAGAGGACAGAGAGCGGAAAAAGGAAAAGGTCATAGGTTAGAAAACGCGTTTGGGGTAATTAGGCATTTCATCAGCAGACGGGCAATAGCTGGAGGGGCTAGCCCTCCGATGGGCTATGTGGAGTTTAATTGAGAACTACGCGAACCAGGAAAAACAGGCTCCCTTTCGTAGCGCGTCTAGGTACGCATTTTTTTTTTTCTATTAAAAGTGCGTGTCACACACGCTGAGAACTACCTCGTGTCTGAGGTAACAGGTACCGTGAGTCGACGGCTGTTGTTGTTGCTGCTGCCGCCGCCGCCGCCGTTATTGTCATCTTTTTAGCGTTAATCTGAACTCCATTAGGTAACCATGACATTGCGTTTCCACTTCTTCACTGATTTTTTAAACTTTCCATTTGATTTCTAAAACTAGTACGAATAATAAAACGGGTATTCTTAAGAGATAAATATAGCTGGACTACTATACTCTATTATGTAGTAGCTCAATTGACACGTTTAATAAATATGAATATCATCTTTTTTTTTCGCGGAAGCCGTCCCAATGCATTACCTAAGCTCTGTTTGGTACCCATTTATCGGTCTGCAGAGTTACGCTCTGCTGCTGTTGAGTAGATTGAATCGTGTTTACAGCGTCTCCTACGATGTCAAATAGGTCTTTGTCATTATTTTCAAGTGGAAAGCTATGAGCCGAACGAGTTTTTAAAAAACGTATCTTAATTATTTATTAAAAAAAAAACTCGAGAATTTGTTTTAATTATTATTTATTTCGAGTAGGACTTTAATGTACTATAAGTAATATTGGGCTGTGAATGAAGTTAGTTTGATTAAACGGAAAGCTTTGTTTTGAGACTTTTCTTTTCTCTTCTTTGACAGGACGGACGGCTGTTGAGCGGAGACCATATCCTGCAGATCGGAGAGGTGAATCTACGTGGAATGGGTTCTGAACAGGTACCGCTTTTTTCTGAAATGAGCCAACTTCTTATTATGAGTGCTCATACGCAAACCGAACCTAGATATTGTGATTGATCGTATAAGTAACTGATACGTTGTTACTATAGCGCATAAAACAAACAGACTCTTGCTTGTGACTTCTTGAACGCTGACCATTGTTCACCCTACAATGATGTGTTATCCTTGACGTGTATAGGTAGCAGCAGTATTACGTCAAGCGGGCACATCCGTACGCTTGGTAGTTGCGCGACCGGTGGATGCTTCTGCAGCCGCTGGACTGGAAGGACTTGCGGCCCCCGTCGTACCCACAAGAATACTCGCCGACGCTGACCAGGTAATTGGACTTTACCAACAAAAAACCCGGTCATAATGTGTTCAATACAATAAATGTGATCATAAAAGAAATTGGTTTGTTTGTATCTGAAAAACCTACGTTCTGACGATGTAGGCAGTGGCAAAATCATCATGACATATCGCTTCCTCATCGTTGCACTCACCTGCAGTTTTATCCTACCATAAAAAAAAAGGTGCACATAATTCGGCCGGAACAACGACTAATTTGCGGTATGGAACGAAGTTATCCATTTCAAGATTTGAATCCAAGATTCATATGTGCCTAGGTTCATTATGGGGAGAAGCTGCCACGAGCAGAGCAGAATTTCTGCCTATAATGTTCCATCCTGCCAGTGCAATATTACTGCCTAGATTTTCATAGCTACCGACGCTGTGAATGTGATCCTCTCGCAAAATCTCCCCTGAATGCCGATGCATTCAGAGTAAGCCAGAAGCTGACAACTGCACCCTACGATTAGGGATAGCTCTGCTAATTATATTGTGCAATAACTGTTTTTAAGTACTAGGTGAAGCGTACGTTCATCTGCCTGTACGATAAGAAATTGATGAAAGATGCGTGATGACTAGCCGTAGCACACACTGAATATCTACAGAGTAAGAGTGTGTGATGAACATGGTGGAACAAATACGACTTCTCCCTATAATCGGCCATATATTATTTTCTCTTCTACTTGCTTATGCCCCCTTCTTTTTTTTTTTTCATTTCTTTCTTCCAATCTGTGGAAATTGTTCATTTGAGAAATTTTAAGAAGAACAACTTCGTCTGCTTCCTTGTACCTCACTACTGCCACATCACCAATATACAGGGTCTACCGGGAACTATCTGCCACTTCACTTCTGTGCCATTAGTTATCTGCATGATGTAGATGTGCCCACATACAGTAGAACACGCCGATGTCTTATGAGCGATAGCACTGAATCACGCAAAAATAAACCCGCATCGGCGCAACCGCACCTTCCACCTCGCCTATCTGAATCTTGTAGCCTTGTCGAAAAATCGGCCTGTATAACTCGACTATGAGGTCCCTGCTAGAGGTGTATGTCGGCCTGCTTACAGCAGGGAGCTATGTGCGTGTCCACCGAAATGACACCCTGCTATCGTTGCACGACCAGAGCTAGTCGTGCTCCTGGCTTTAGCGTAGACGGCTCTGAGTCTATCGCCGCTGTCCTCGGAGAGCGGATGAATTTTTTCTTGACCCTACTTCGCTAGAACCTTCAATTGTGCGTAGTGTTTCTAGTTCCTTTTGCTTTTCCAGTGACCACTTTGTTGTGTAGACCAACAGATACGCACTGGGGGTGGCCGCGGTGCTGGTGATGCCAACTTTCACTTTTAGAAACTTCGAACAGTTTTCAACAAGAGACAGTAGGCAGAGATTTGCGTCTGGACAATTTGCCCCACAAGGCTTTGGGTCCTAGTGAACGTCGTCCTAGTGGTTGTAGCAGAATAGGTTCAGTAGAAGGGACGAACAAGTGAGATGATGATACAGGGATGCAAATTTAGCTGTCATGCTACACCGCTGGCAGCATGGGCTTAACCTACCGACCGACTAAGCGACTTTATGGGTTCCGCGTTTAGCTATGCATTGCGAATGTAAACGGCAACTACCTATGCTTTAGCCAAAGGTTTCTGTGCTCAAACAGATACCACAGTGTTAAGGCTCGTCTGAGGAAGAGCAGCACGCTTCATGGACAGCTGATTGCAAGCAAGCGACTGGCAGTGGCAAAAACGTATTTGCAAATTAGTAGCAATAAGCGTATCGCCCATTGTCGTTGATTGCACGAAAATCCCATTTGCCACTTTATGTTGCGTGTAACTCGTGGAATTTGCTTTTTTCTTTTCGATTTTTGCATGTTACCTGAGTGCGGATCCAGTGCTGTGCTTGTGGGTTAACGTACTAAGCCCAGCATGCCTGAAAAGGACCACTTCTCACGATAGTGACCATTTGTAGTATTGGTCGCGGTTTCAATCATCAGGGGTGACTTGTGTTAGTTACGCACAAGGCGTTAGGCTTCAGCGAACAATGGTATCATGACAAAGTCATGACACTGTCAAGATGTACGTATGTATACCTATGCACGTCCCGTAACTCACCCAATAACTCAATTCCATTAACGAAGAAGCAGGACTTCTTTTAGTGCCACTAAAACTGTCACCAATCTCAGCTCGTGACAGCAACGCTAGCCCCCAGTGATGGTGCTCTGATACGCGCCATGTCACGTTTTGCTGGCCGCAATGACGGTTTTGTGGGTTGCTCAACGACTTAGCAACATTATGTTCGCGAACGTGGCTGTAGTGGTTCTCGCGGTACGTCAGGGCCACGCTCCGCTTTCTTTAGAAAAGCGGCTGCTGCTTCGACGGGTCTTTCGATTGATTTCCTAGATTGGCAGTTTGTGCATTCTTCTCTCGTTCTATGGTCACGCTTGCTTCACTGCGCGCTGGCGTCATGTACATATGTTTGCCTTCATCAGTCCACGGCCCCCGACTTTCGTTCCCGCTGCTACCCATACGACGTTCGCCATTCCTCATTCTATAGCTTTCAAGTTTCAGAATAGCAGTCGTCGCCGTCCTCTTCCTCGTCGTACTCTTTCAGACGCTTCTGAGAATGGAGGGCTATAGCATGGGAAACTGAAGAATATCAACAGCCGGACCTTAGTGGAGCTCAGGTTTCAATGGTACCGAGGAATGGTTGCAAGCTGCCACGAAAACGAGCCTTACCTTTGTTTAAAGTGCAGACGAACGGGGCTTGTCATCTTTTGCTGCGTCAGCCATAGAGCTGCTAAAAGCTTTTGTCGGTGGCCGCAACCTCTGATGCAGTAGTCCTTTTGGGAATTTAATTTTCTTTAGGCCGTTATGGCAACGTCATTCTTCCGGGAAGATGCAGACACACGTGCATGTTAAAACTAAGCAGTTGAAAGTAAATACAAGCAACAAAAGGACAGATAGAGGAAAATGTACTATTGGATAATATATATATATATATATATATATGTATATATATATATTGGACAGAAATAGATTTTGCCATTATTACAGTATCCTACTCGTGTGTATGCGAAATAAGAGAAACAACAGGTCCATATATTGATATTATTCGACCCGTTAATTGCTAAGTATTTAATGGCAAGTAGGACTACCAGGACGTTAACGCACTTTCTGAATGATTGGAAGGATCAGCAAAGTTGACCTTCGATGGAGCTAGGCCAACGAAACGGGCTAGTTAGTTTAAGCGCCTAGCCGACAATTTGGTCGTATGCAGAACATGACGTATATTTCGATATCGGCAGAAGTGTTGTTCGGCTTTGAAGTCGCAAGCACCTAAGATAGCCTAGGAAATAATCTTCGACCGGTTCTGTTGGGAAAAAGAAACTTTATTAAATTGCTTGTTTTCTGGCGTTAGAAACAAAAGAAAGAAGGTAGAACCAACTTTGTCAGACAAGTTGAGACTGGGCTTAGGCTACTATCAACAAAGTCAAGAGGCCGGCTGGGTCTACCAGTTAAGCCAACTTCATTGCGCCAGCCCGTGTAACGTACTCTATTGAGATCATTAGCGTTCTGCGGGGTTGCACCCCGCATCCGCCTGGCATTTAAATCGACAGACATCCAAAGCAAAGTGCGAAGTTTCACTGCTATCGGTGCTTCGTGATAATTATGCCCTCTACTCCCTTGGGCCTTATCATTTGCCCTTATATTAAGAAGAACATAAATGTTCAACCGGTGCTGGATTATGTTGCTATTACTGACGCCGTCGAGATACAATAGATTAACTACTTTTTCTGACCCCTTACATTTTCTACTAGGTTCTGTTAGTACCCACGTTGTGTTAGTAAGTTGATGCTAAAAGATCGATCAGGATTATGCGGAACTAATATGACAGTATCTTAGCCGACTGTTAATATTAAGAGAGCGTGAGCAGGATGGTTCCGGCAAAACTCCGACAAACAAATGGAAGTGAGAAAGCATAGAATATATGGCGGAAATTTGTACGCTTGGGTTATATTATGAATAATACTGCGGTAGTGGTGACCCCCAACGAGTGCTGCTCTCGGCGTGCAACGAGTATTTACTTTGCACAATAGCAACGGATTAGAGTTAGTTATCCTACAAAGATTACGAGCAATAGCAGGTTATGATTTAAAAAAGGGCGAAAGCAATGCACTCGTGTGAACAAGTGATTACTAACTCCCAATTCTACTAACTTAACTGGTGTATAATTTGCCTCATGGCTTGAAACGGCCCTGATTCAATATCGTGCGCTGTTCTGAATCAATTTCAATGATGCACTACATATATGCGATATCTATATGGACGTATACGTATATATATATCCGACTTGGTCGATCAGTAAATCGGCCGGTTGTCCGTCGTTATAGGGGCAGACAAGGTTGGTTTTCCAACGTATTTACTCGATATTTATATTATCAAGCCGTGTTTACGCTTAGAAACAAAAGGCTCAATTGTGAAATGTGTTTACCTAGGCTGTCAATTTTTACACGGATGACAGCAGATCTGACAGAGTGCAGTGGCACACTGACTGGCTCGACAAGACGCCGCAAGACATGAATTTCCCCCACCTATCTTTCCTGCGCTCCCGCTGCTGAAGCATTTCTCTTGCCGTGGTCCGTCTCGCGTTGTGCCTCGCGGATTGTTCCTGGTCGTCAGCTCCAATAGGTCTACCAGCAGTCAGCCGATATCAGAAGCCACCTCATGAATTATGGGCGGGTTCCATTATGCCAACGTATATTCTCTCATCGTTGTTCTACGCGGATTGGCATTTGTTTATAATAAATTTACGCGTCACCGTTCACGCTCGCTTCACTGCTCTCGACTTTATTTTCTTTTATTTTTGTTAATTTCGTTCTGGTTCTAAGCCCTTACACGTATCAGTCACTGTTCTCCTACGTGGCGAATACTACAATTACCATCTTCACCGACGTGTTTTTCTCGTCGTCCTTAGCTATTGTAGCTTATTCTACTTTGCCCTGTTCCCTCCGTCTTTATTTAGTGCTGTCCTTCTTCGCTGCTGCTGCTATGCAAAGTTTGGAGGTTTGTGTGATGGTGTGGATACATTTATATATATATATATATATATATAGTAAATAGCCATTAGCTTTCGCCAGTAGAACGCAGTCGCTATAACGTTCTTTGCCGGAACGTGGAACACGTGGCGTGGCGAAATGCATAATCGCTACCCGTACAGAATTGTGGGTAAATAGTCGACTGCCTTCCTCTTCTTAGGTGTTTCCTTGTGCGTTTATGTTTGGACGAGCTGCTTGTACAACCAATAATTTGTAAATAGACGTAATTATGATGACGTTCTGACGAGCACAATCGGTACTACTACTATTACTACGAGTACTGCTGCCGGTGGCCCTGTCCAGCTTATCGTGACAGGACCGTAAGCAGTTTTCTAATCTGGGGGTGTCAAGCAGAAGGGAAAGGAAGAGTTTGAAAGGGATTTGATTTTGCTCTACGATTGCTACTCTAACAAAAATGGCGGCATCAATTAGTCGAGCATATAGTTAGTGTTGGTACGGTTGGTGTATGACAATAATAAGCATAAGTAAGACCATATTGCTACGTAATAAAAACAACATGCAGTAGATAACACATGGAGACCTGGTCTGTTTGTGTGCAATTGTTGTCCTTCGTTATTTTGTAGAAGATCGTGTGTTCTCGCCTCTAACGCTGCTAAACGTGTGTGTAATGATGTATTTTGAACTTGATACTTACTAAAAAGAATCTATGATCCTAGAAATCGTCCTTATCTTAGAGGGACTCGGATGTGTACCCAGGTTAACTTGCACTGGGACTCTGAATTCAGTACGACCGTTCAACGGAGTATATAATGAGCTTTTAGCTTAAGTGCAGTGTCACCTCATATCGATTTGGCACTTCATTCGTGATGCAATGGAACCCCTGACACCTAACCTACTGCAGTTATTAGTGCTGCCTACGGTATGCGGATGAAACGGAACACTTTTCCTGCACTCGCCTGCCTAATGCTTGTCCAGAAGAACTGGAGACTGTCGCACTAAGGCCAGCTAAACACCGGCTTTGAAAAGCAAAATTAAAGTTTTATCGACAGCTGATATACGAAGGTAAAAATATTCGGATTTCCGCCAAAACCTGACGCGGACTGTACAAGTCGTCATACCTTGACTTGCTAGCTATTCGTTCAGGGGACGGAGCAAAATTAGTGCAGATAGCAGCTTCATCCTTCCGCCCCCCAGCTCCGACCTGTGCGAAGACATCGTCGTTGTTCGAGTCATTCATATGAGCCTTTCGTATTCGAATGTGACGGTGGCATCGGAAGAACGTATATTAAAAAAAAAAAAACTACGTGAAAAATGATCTTACCTATACCAAGAAGAAAAGATTTGATTGACGTGTATCCGCGTTCGCGTGATAGTTCAGTGCGTAATGTATTTGCCTGCTAATCTTAGAAACACTTCGTGGTCGAAGTTCGAACCCGGGCATAGACAGACAGACGGCTCGATTCGTGATGGAAGTCGGCAATCTTACGGAACACCTAACGGAGGTACGAAAAAAAAAACTTAAAACATTTGTTAGCCTGCGACGGCCTCTTGTACGCTTCATGGCCTCAAGATTGCTGCATTGCGTAGATGCTAAGGTTTTCCATCACCCTGGAGATCGTAGACGTGTGGAAGGTTCCTAGCACTTACTTCTTCATGGTGACAGTGAGAATCACTGTAAATCGTCTAAATGATGACGAAAGATAACATGGCTTAGTGTTATGTTGAACGGGATGATAAAATACATAGGGACCGCTGTGGGGGTTATAGGTGTTGAGTGGTTTCAATCGTTACCAAACAAATTGAAGTGCAGCTTGGATTGCAAATTGGCAGCTATATTTGCTTACCGGGGGCGTTTGTGCGAATGCACTGAAAAAAGGCACGTAAAAAACATAGTATCTATATGTGTCATCGGGAAGATATTGACCGCTTTAAGGCTAGATTGAAGTTATCAAATACTGAGCTAAATATGCACTATTGTGAGTGAAAATCCGATTGATTTTCGGGAAAATTGTATGTGATCTATCATTTTAATGGTGGAAGGTAACGCACTTACTATTTTTTTTACTTACTACTACGATTTTTTTTTCAAATGTTACAATTTAGTTAATTATTGAAGTTAGTTAGTTAGTTATTATTGACGTTAGTCTTAGCTTTGCTACAGATTGCAGCAGTACTTGTTCTGCCTATTATTACCGCGTGTGACTACTATGAGAAAAATATATATATTTTTCTCATCAAAGATGACGCGGACTTTTTGAGTTTCGTAAATGTCAATTCATATGGCATCCTAACATCTAGCTTTTTTTGTAGCTAGCTTTTTATTTAACTAGTTGAAAGTGTGTTTGAATTCCTTGTGTATATTTCGGCTGCTCGCATGTCCAGGTCGAACAACTTTTAGCATATTCAATACGAAAAGCATCTATCAGGTCAGAATTTTCAGAACGAGAGCAACTTTTAGGTAGTTTGTTTAGCTGACCTTAAGCAACACGTTTTTTCATGTATGATCGTATTTGTATCTTTAACATAATTAATGTTGAATACAGCGAATTTTTGCGGAAGGCGTTCTATCTGACAGGCAGTCCGGCCTACCTACTACTACGAAGGCTCAGAAGAAAGACACCTGTGATAGTATCTTGAAAGCCGTGTAGCTAAAAACAAATATATATATATATATATACCTTGCGGATCACAGTGTTTGAAGGGGTCACAATTTTTAGCAACTGAAATTCACGTAATAAAAATATGCAGTTTTTTTCTTTTCTCGATCGCGAAACTGTGATAGATCCAGGTAAATAAATTAAGAAACAAAGACCTGATCACGCACTATAATAACAATGGCTGAAAACGTTCGCTGGAGGCTGATTTCAAAACACCAAAAAGGTCAGGGACATCAAAGAAGCGTAAAGATTGGAAAGCTTACACTAGTTTTCTTCCTATTGTAAGCTTTACCGTTTTTAATCTGCGCTGACTACACTGACTTTTAGCTGCCTAACTAAACAACCACCCCACAAAGCCAACAATGGATTAACATTTCTTTCTCTTCCTGTATTTCTCCACTTACATTTTTCTACATTTTTAGCAATTATACTTGCTATTAACATATAATTCGTGGGTCAGCAAAATAGGTAAAACAACAACGACAACAACTGCTCCTACAAGAAGCACAGCAGGAACTGCAAGTTCATCAAAGCAAAGTCTCTCGTCCCAGAATTCCTCAACTTCACTTACTCTCTTATTATCTCTAACTCGATTTCTGTTCTAGGTTGAGCGTCACTTAGCTATGTTCTCAAACAACAATAATAGCGTTGACGACAACAACGGGACGACCACGGCCGCCTCAACGTTTGTTGCCGTAGTCTCTTGTGCTTCAGGAACGACCCCGGTAACGGCTTCCGCCTCCAGCCCAAAGCCGTCCGTGCTTGCAGAAACGCCCTCTGCCACTGTGTCATCATCACCAGGGGTTATCATTGAACCTTTGGCAGGGACGCCCGCACAAGCAGGTTCGGCGATACCGGCTGATGAACGGCCAAGTCCTGCAGGCGGAACAGGGCCTGGGCCCACAACACCTGGCCTCGGTGGCTCCCTCGGAACGTTATCGGCGCCCAACGCTCCTGTTGCCAGTGGTGTAGGCGGCGGTGGAGGCAGTTCTACCCTCCCCCTCGGCGTTGAGCACTCGCCGTTGTCGCAGAGTTCATCTCAAAGCGGTGGCAAGCTTAACCAGGAAGAAAACATAGTTGTTGCGGCGCAAGACATGCACACGGAGCTGCTTAGCCTCATGGGGCTCGACCAGCTGCAGCTGCCCGAGATGGAGACCTTTGAGGTCGAGCTTGTCAAGGATCAACAGGGACTCGGTATCACAATTGCCGGCTACGTCTGTGAGAAGGGAAGAGACGGTAAGCGATGGCAGGACATCGTCGATCTTAGACAGTCGTAGATATGGTAGCTAGCAGTAGAACGTAGCTATGTTTCGAGTAATAGATGACAATAACAATAGTTAGTAGAGAAACAAGAAAGTGTCTAAATGAACGATGATACCTGTCGATATCGAATAGGATATCTGTCCTGAATTACAGAAATACTTGTACGAAGTGCTTCATTCCACAATTCCATCGGTCTTTACTTTGTTCGTATTCGTTGGACGGAGGGGCTCAGAAAGGGAAGAGGTTAACATTTTCTTTGGAAGTCCAGAAGGTTATGACGCTGAGTTAGTGTGATGAAAGATGATATATATATATCATCTTTCATCACACTAACTCATATATATAAGTTCATATATATATATATAAACTTATATATATATAAGTTCAGCTACTCGGTTGTGAGGAACTCGTGGACATGAAACGACACGAAGACGCTCTTCAGGGATGGTGCCAATTGATATTACGCCATTACTGAAGGATGCCATTACGAGGGTTAGGTCCACCTATAGTAAATACGCATTCCCGTCTCCATATGTTTGTGCGTATGTATTTGTATGTGTCAACAAGTGGGTGCAGTGGCGATCGTAGAGTGAAGATGATAAATATGAAAGACGGATGATGAATTTAATGTCGTTTGGCCCCAGTTTAGTACGCTTTCAGAAAATACTTAGCAATAATCGGCCTATTATCATGCACAGTCTACAAATAGCATCACCCACCAAGACGCGGATATATGCTGAGATAACACCGAAATTTTTTTGGGTGGGAGTACACGAATTGTGTAGAGTGTGTCATAGATAGTCTGTTTCAACCAAAAGCTTGGTCGTCCAAGCCGCCATTCTAATATAGCAGCAAATTTTCTCAATATATGAACGCATACAAGCTTTTTTCCTTACAAATAAGCCTCCAGGCTAGCAACATATTTTTTTGTTTATTGTACTTGATAGTTACTTACCTACTGTGTGACAGAAATTTAGGCTTTTTCGGGAATCGCAAGTTAAAATATATCAGGAACCTGTTTCTATCCATTATTTTATATAAAACTGAAAAGGCGTCTCGCATATGTATATGACAGGGCGAATATGGCATCGTGGTCTAGTGTAGGACGGCGACAGTCCCCTTATGGCGTTACTAGCAGCAAGAAGCACGAAGAAGGGTGGAATTGGTTCAAGGAAAAGGGATGAACAAGTCAGGATATTCGAATAGTGTTTGTTTGTTTGAGTGACAGCCTATGTGGAGCACCAAATTCGGCCCTACCCATAACGAAGACGGCAACAACAGCGACGGAAGCGTGAAATAGGCGCGCAGGGGATCAGCAATGAAAGAAACGGATGCAGAAGCACTCGTTTCCCCACATTGGTTGTTTCGTGTCTGTGACTGTGAGAAAAGTCTGTTATTATAATGACATTATCCATGTCAACCGATGGTACCCTACGTTTCGCTATAGTAGTCTGGGTCATGTCCTCTCAACGTATTCAGACGGAAAAGGTCTCAAGTTTTCGTGTTTCACCAACACAACGAGGCAGTAAATAAAACAAAATTTCGTTGGTTCGACGGCGGACCAAAATGGCAGAAAAGAGAATGTTCTAAATCCTGTCAAAGGCTTGTAGCATTCGTCTGTCACTAAGCATGGCGCATGCTGAAGGCGACTGTACAATATAAGATGCCATCGTATAGAACGTGTACGAGCTAGCTGGCTGGTTACCCCGATTATTTGGGCTTATTCGGCGATTATTTGGGTTAAGTCAATCAGCTGCGGCCTAAAGCCGACGGCGAGCAAAGCAGTTTGTTAAACAATAGCAGTCAATTAACCCGCACGTATGCATGCGCACACATCGGCTCGTCACTTAAATGTAGATACACGTGGACGTAAACCCTTCATGAGGTTTGCGTAAATGTAATCGAGCCCTATACGTACGCTGTTTCAGAAGGTCGTATATTTCTTAATGTGTGACAGCATGTCAGATACGGTAAAATAAAACTAGGCCATAGAACAGATTCGTACTTTAACCAGAACGACTCCATACGGGCCTCTAAAAGGGACGAGCTCAATAAATGAAATTATTGTTCTTTTAGATATGCTATGACAGTTTAGTAATTGTCTTAACCCCGCTGACCCTACTTCTTCTAGGCTAGGAGTCCTAGGGAGACGACGCGAAGACTTACGATTTACTTCTGCTAGAGTAAAAACTTAAGTGATTCACATGGGAAACAACAAGGATCTTAAAATAGAATCACTGTGACATAAGCCTATAGAAACTGGGGTGTTCCTTTGAAGTCTACAACATGCTTGTATTGGTTACGATGTTAGGGGGCACTGAATTGATTTAGCCGTCTCAGTAGTTGCAAACGAAATAATTTGCACATAGTCAAGATATCGTGCACAAATCCCGTTGTCTAACAGCGACCGACCATTTCCACTATGGAGGTTCCTCGCAGCGAACGGACACTATTCGTTTTAGTGAAATCGTTTTGCCCTTCAGGGCTTTTGGTCCGGTTTGGATGTTTTTTACGGCTAGATCCTTCTGACGCATTTAATAACGATTTTGCATTTCAAGAATTTCTAACATGTAGAATATAACCTTTAATTGGAAACTATCCCTGCTTTGTATTATATAGTACTAGTTTCACAATAGCCGTTATCAACAAAGTTTGTTGCGTAAAGCCGGTAAAATATAAGCTGTCAGAAACGATTCGAAATTACGTACAACAAGCTCTTCTTATAGAAACCGCTTTCAATCATATTAGGTATTCATATATATATGAATATATATACCTAGTATGTGAACGCAAGGTTTACATAGGCTGGTTCATACCATTAGTTTAGATTTAGGTCGTTGTAAATGTGCAACAGCAGTACATGCGCGCACCGGACCTTCAGGTGTGCTCCGTCTAGTTTGAGAGAAACCGGAAGAAGAATGAACGAACAGAAGGCCCAACGTACACACGATCGGCCTTATATGCTGGGTGGCCGGCTGGCGACGTGCTGTCTGCCGATGCACGTTGAAGGTCGTTCCCTGTAGTCCTGCACGCTCCGTCAACCGTAGACTGCCCTCCAGTGGAGCGGTTGCTTCGCTGTTTGCTTTCCTACTTGGATGCGTACTTATCTTCAGGACAGATCTGCCACGCAAGCAAAGGGAAAAATGGCTGAGATAGTCCTTGAGCCGAGTTCGACCCGTACGTTCGTCGCGTTTCGTTGCACATGTCACTTGTGTAAGAGATTATGGAATGATAGGATACGCATGCGGACAAACCATCTAAATTTTAGTCCTGCAGTTAGCTGTTCCTACCGGTGGTGTCGTTGGCTTTCGACAACGTCGAATAGCTCCGTCTGTGCTATAACACGGTGTTGACGTGTGTGTCTCAGCGTGTGTGTGCGTTTTGTGTATATGATGCATGCGGTTTTTGGGGCAGCGGACGTATAGAATCAACTAGATATGGATGCATCGTTCAATACATCTGTACCGGAACGGAGTAGCCTTTATAAATGCTTATGCAGTACAGCTGAGAATAGGATGGACCTCTGAATCAGAAACCCAGTAACGAGAATAGGAAATTAAAGAAAACCTAGTTTGCATTGTGGGCATTTAACTAGCCTTCATATTGCAATGTGAGACGTTTACCAACAACTGTTACAGCAATGATTTCAAATCTATTTTTACACCATTAGCTTTCTCGGACATTGTTAATATACTACAAATAGAATGGAACTAAATTACGTAAATGGTGCTTTGTAACCACGTTCTTGAATGGAAAAAAAACTCTAAAAAAATCGTACGGGGAAAACATAGAACTTCAAAAGGCCCTTATTAAATGAGTATTATTTAGTAACATCTACAGTCTAATTCGACCACTTGTTAATGATATACACATCTACTTTACAGAGGAAATTTCCGGGGTATTCGTTAAAAGCGTAGCAAAAGGCAGTGCAGCTGATCTCAATGGACACATTCGAATTAACGACCAGGTAAGTTCGTAATGAAGGAAACAGAGCATGTAGATATTCTACTAAAGAATAGCAAATACGTTGCCACAGAATAGTAAACGTAGTGCTGTGAGCGTCTGTGAAAAAACGTAATCACTGAAGTGTCTTATGACTGCTATTTTATGTTTTCGTTTGCATGCGACCCGCCTAAGTCAAAAGGGTCTAACTAGATTTCTAAGGATCTAAATTGGATTGATGTGTTTATTTCTGCAACGAAGAATAACTCCGTTTATTAAATTATGCTTTTGTTTTTGAGGTTATCGAGGTGGACGGAAGACCCCTGCAGGGATACACGAATCACCAAGCCGTTGAGCTACTCAGATCTACCGGAAAAGTATGTATAGCGTTTTCCGTGTCGAGCCAAAAGGAGTCAATTTTATGGGGTCCTAACGTTCGGTACTTTGTATCGAAAATGGCATCTTGAGAGGGTGGCACGGGCGTTGCCGGTTTGACTTTATAGCTAATCATCACTAGAAATCATCCTGTTGTAGGCTAACATTTAAATTAAAAGTGCTCTATGTTCACAACTTTTCCAGCAGAACCATTATATTTACCTCCAATTTGTGTTCTGCGAGTTTATTAGCAGGATAGCTAGCACGTTGAGCACATGCTCAATAGAATGTGTTCGGTCCTTGCGACCCAGCTCCTTTAGATTTCTCCAGCCCACATGTCGCACTTTACGACGTATCAGTATGGAAACCGTTTTTGACCTCTACTTAGTATTCATTCCCGACGAAAAACCGACAGCTGTATACGGGTCACTGTCCCCTAGAGGAGCATAGTCATCGGAAACGCCACAGGGACTTGTTTCGGCTTCCTGGGATTTTCTTTGGATTGAAATTCACAGTAGAGTTCCCCTCGGTCACAGTTGATTTGTCATCTAGCGCCTTGCTGTCCAATGAAGGATGAGTAGTTGGGCGGCAAAGCGTGGTCGGTGTGGACCGGCTATCGGTGGGGTCAATATTAGAGATGAAGCTAAGGGAACATAGAGAAAAAAAAAGTGACAGAAGATCTCAGATGTTAGGGACTTTGGTAGCGAACGGTTCGGATTCATTAGGTTTTTTAACGACATTTCTTGCGTACGCTGAAAGTATGACCTTTGATGATCATATTAATTTAACATAATTTTCATTCTTTATGAATTCACCTTTAAGTGATGATCTGAATCACTCAATCGCTTGCAAATGCGATGCGTCGAGTAATATTTGGGTTTCATTTTTTCTATATTTGGATCTTTTATATAGAAATTACCGTCGGTCGTTTACAAGAACAGAATATTAATTGCCAATTAAGTTATCTAGATTAACTTCGAAAATGAATTTTTTGAAACTTCCTACATTTTTTCTACCTATTGATTATTTTGAATCCTTGTATCTTCCGGACTTATAATCGACTGCCAGCCGGAGCTTTAATTCTTCCAGAATTGTATTTGAGCGTGACTTCAACGAGTGTATACCTATTAACGTATATTGACGCACCGTTACTTATGGATTAAAAAATGATATTTTCAATATGGCTGGCTACGGTTACTTTCGGTCTCAAGCTGAAATTGGAATCGGGATTGCAAATAGTCACATTGAATAAGCATGACAGCCAGGAGTGATGCTTTGATGCATGAGAAAAAGTTTTGCAGATTATCTATTTGTATTTAGATACAAAGCATGAGATAGAGTTTAAATTTAGATCTCGCTTCCTTTATGTATGTATCCATATATAGAAAGTAAGCAGGAAACCTTCCTGCCTTTTCCCTTGGGGACGTGTCGCCATCTTTAAATCCCCACGACCATCTTCCCTAAGGGAATTATGCACGCTGCTTATATGCGATGCGTCAATCTGACAGTGAGTGTCTAATAAACGATTTAGGCGTGCTCTAAGCTGCGTGTTTGCACCCGCAATAAATGAAGGGCAAAAGCCATGATGTTTGTATGGCGGAGGTTCGTTTGCTATCATACGGCACACGCACCGAAGAGCGTATCAACAGCGGGTTTTCGGGGCAAAGGGAGGAGACATACGCCCACAAGCTCATGCATCGACCAGTTCTCGGGGCAATTTACATAACGTCCCGCTTTGCGAGAAGGGAAAGCTGGCATGTTGTTTTCTGTAGCAGGGGTCGCAACCAAGGGAACGCAAGTAATGAGTAACGGTGTCTTGAAAGTTGGGCAATAGCGGCTGTTGCTCGCCGACGACAAAGCGGGGGCGCACGGAAGATTCGCGGATAGACAACGGCATCCGGTTCGCCTCCCGGCAATCGATAGAACATTGTTTAATAGTAGTATTAACGGCTGAGCAACAATGGAGAGGAAACAACCAACGCGATACTTGGCGCGCTGCCGTCGAACAATCAACACTCAATTGAGTGTCGCCTCCTTTGTCTTCGCGTAGCCTTAAAGCTTTCTTTTTTGTTCGCGCTTTGTCAGATCACTCGGAGATCTGATTCTACAGAGTTGAACCCTAAAGACAGGCCGGTTTAGATACCATACTGTATCCATCTAGAATATCAAACTACGCGGGTATAGTGGCCTATGAGCAATCAACCCCATAGAAAATAAGGTATAGACTAAGCCGATGGTAATTTAGTCTACTTTTTTTTTGTTTTGAAACGACGTTACCAGAACATATGAATTGTCTTTCTCATTTCATACGCGTAAATAGCCTAATTAACGGGATATGGATATTTAACTAGCTATGATTTCTTTCTACCTACATTAAAACTTGGCTCGTTTTTTTCTGGCCGTCTTTCTTACTCGATCGATGTACTCTTAGGTTGTATACGATGTACATTTGATTGTGACATTAAACATAATTTCAGGTAGTAAAGCTACGGTTGGCACGGTATCTTCGCGGGGCCAGATATGACCAGCTTCAGCAAGCAATAATGGCGGAGTCGGTACATGCTGGCGCGGGTCAACAACTCATCTCAACCGCGCAAATGCTTCAGACACAATCCATGACAGCAACAGCAGCAGCTGTATCAGCACCTCCAGTATCTCAGCCAGTTTCAGCATCACCTTTGCCCACGGGCAGTATAGGCAAAACAAATCGATTTCAACTATTTCCCACAACATCATCTTCAACAAACAACCTAACAAGTAGCAGTTGCGCCACATTGGCGGCCACAACGATACAGCCAACGACAAATGCTGCAGCGAACCCACTTAATAACAATAGCAATAGCAATAACAATGGCCCGAGCAACAACACAATCAATAATTGCAGCAGCGGTACCAGCAACGCGCGGAACAACAATAGCGGTAAGCTTACACGACCAAATTGCTTTCCGGGAAAACGAGTCGTACATCAATAGCGACAACTCAATAGACAACAATCTACCACGATTCAGATTCGATCGTTAGCGCTAGTGGTTCCAATCAAAAACAGACAACAAAAAAAAAACGGGTTTATGTGGGAAAAAACAGTAATTCTTTGCAATCAGTTCTGTTCTACTTCGAGGGGCGAACAAAATTTGAATATTAATTCGATAACTTTACATTGCCCAAAATTATAAATAAAACAAAGTTATTCATTGTCCGTTTGGCTTGCCTCATTTGCAGTGTTATGTGCCAGTATACCCTATTCTGCTATGGAACTAGTTCTAGTGCCTCCTTTAGAGTCGTTTTATTTCCTGTTACACATGTATGACAATAGATACCAGTCAATCTATTAACTAACGACAGATCTTCTGGAATTTGACAACAAACTAACCGAAATTTGCTAGAGTGGCAGCTTTTTACATGGGACTACGATACGTCGTATACTTGTATAAACGGATCTGGCATATCCTTCCTAGACGCGTATCGACCGATACCAGAGACATCTTAGCAGCTAAACCACTATGATAACGTTTATGATGACCTTTAAAATACAATCCATGCTATGTCAGACCGTGTACCGTATTTCGGCCAAGCAGCTGATACTTTTGAGTAGAAAGCTCCCAATTCCGTAACACATATTGTCTTCCGAATTGCGATGCAATGTATCATCCTCTCGGATAGTTCTAGTTGCCGTTAGTGCTTGCTCGCCCAGATGTACAGGGATCACATTCTACAACCAGCATCTCGCTAAAGCCTCGTTATACCTCGCGAGGCTTCGTTTATTAATATTGTCTAATCAGCGGCCTCTAGCTATATTTTGTCGCTTACTGTATGGTGACTTCATAAAAATGGGTTCGCAGCGGCTATTTGTTGACATTTGGATATCCCGTTTTCCTAAACAGCCCTACCAGAATTGTTCATTCAGAATATGTTCGATAAGATGCCCTAATATTCTTGGGCTTCACGTGGTTACGTTCCTTTGGTGTTCTCCGACCATCTTTGTGACATTTTTCAAGGTTACTGTCAGCGTTAAGCTTCGTGCTTTTTCCTTCGTATTTCCCTGTTACGTTTATTATGGTTTGTCAGCAGCTGGCAAACTATTTCCTGTATTTATTTTTTGAGCATTATGTAACCAGTCCAATCGGCTTCATTATACGGCTATGAATGTCCTAATATTCCCGCGTTCACCTCGACTGATTCCTGTTATACGTTTATTGTTTATTATACATGTTTATTATTGTCTGTGACTTAAAGGGCAATCAATCGAACCTTTCGCGTATTTTGTGTTTCAAGGTTCAACGGTTTATCATCGCTGGTAGTCTGAACGTTAGCTCTAAATATCGTTCTAATGGCAGTGGCGTAAGCAATACTATTCTCTATCGCTGCCCTTTTAATAGAAACTTGTTGCGAATTGTAACAGCTTCTGCAGCAGCTAACAAGCTATGGCAATAACAGTAACCCGCTTGCTAACTCAGAAAACTTATTTGTGAACTTAAGTTGACAAACATCAATCACATACATTTCACACTCTCACGTCTATGAATTTAGTGCATTAGAATACTGTCAAATACTCACTAATATTTCCCTTGTTTGTTCAGGAACACCGAGTGGCAACGCTAGCAGTTACGCCCCGAAGAGTTCAGTAGCGCTGGCCAATCTCGACAACCTCATCCGTGGTACCCATCATCTGCCAGCGTCGGGACTAACCCGTCTCGGTAGTGTTAGCGGCGGAGCCATTACGACACAGGAAAATGAAAAAGAGAAAATTGCGAAGTGGACGGCGGTATTCGGTGCAGAGGACTACACGATCGTCGTAGCTCAATTGTGCAAATTTCATGAAGGTGGTGGACTCGGTATCTCGCTTGAGGGCACGGTAGGCATCAGTGGTCTAGCGCCATCGGTGTAAGGCAACCTAAGCAGCTAGGTTTGTCGTCTAATTAATTGCGCGCCATTTTCCGACTGTTTCGTCTAAATCTCGATTATTCATCGGTTAATCTGTATAGGCCAAAGAGACTGCCTTTCTATTTTGACGGAACACTCAACGCGTCATTCAGCCGAACCTGATTTCACATTAACTCACTAATGTGCAGTTAACCGCAAATCTTTTGGCCATATACTTTGTATGGGGCGTCTTACATTAATCTTCGTACAGCACTTCGCTGCATCTTTGAATACATGTTCTCTTATATTATCTTCATTCTACCTGTTTTCAATGCATTGATTTGTACGGCCGGACTTTCTCTTTTCCTTCTTCAACCTCGATGTAGGTGGACGTCAATGAAGCAGGCGAAGAGATCCGTCCCCATCACTACATTCGCTCAGTTTTACCAGACGGACCTGTTGGCCTTAATGGCGTCCTTCGCAGCGGCGATGAGTTAATCGAAGTCAATGGACGACAGTTGCTTGGCCTTGATCACCGTGACGTGGTCATGACGCTCAAGGATCTGCCCCTAAACGTCGAGATGGTTTGCGCACGACCGAAGAAGCCACTGCCGGCATCGGTAACTAGCTGCAGTCCGACGCCAATGACGCCAGGGGCAGGTGGCTTGCACGGACCCCATGGACATCATCACGCCTCCAAGGCGAAGTCCGATACCTCCCTGAACAGGTATGAATATGAACACAAATGTCAATTATGATTTGTGCTTGGGGTGAGGAAGATTGTAGTGTAAACCACTATAGTATAAATGTTGTTTGTGCCATTTATAGCCACTAACAATCTTCGGCGCGTGAAGCGGCCATACGCCGTTTTTCTTTGAATCAAGAAGAATGATACAGCCCCATGTTATTCTGGCAATGCTTTTGTTACATTATGTTAATATCGTGTGAGTTTTATACAACGCGTAAATGAAAATAATCTGAGACACTCGAGTTTTTGTTCCGTACTAAGTCACGGCGGCTCGGAAATTTGTGTATAGAACATGCAATTTTTGTACTGCGTAGCGAACAATAGTGACTTTTATTTCCTGTCTAATCACACCGCAGAGAGGCACCAGAGGCGAGTCTTTATGTAAACACACATTATTAGAATAGCGCAATCGTTAACACCTAGCAAGCATCAATTGGTGCAAGCCAGACAGTGGCTGTAAATACGCGCCCCCAGCATCCACATACATGTACGCATTTGTTTTATATATGTATATGTAAACCAGGACAGTGCTATATATATATTGGTACGGATTCGTCTCAATAGAAACTGTGAGAAAAAGATTTCGAGGGCAGACTATTCTTTCCCCAACAAACAATTTTTTTTTATTTTCGAAAGAAGACGGTGTATGCCGGCCGTCATTCTATCGTCGCAGTCGCTACTGTCTTTTGAATTCGCCCCCTGGCGGTAATCAAAGTAATTTCGATTTTTGTTTTTACTGTTTTTTTTTTCTTGTTAGACACTGTGCTGCATTGTCGCGCCATTGCTCATTTGCCAGAAACAATTCAGATATTTAGGGTAATGAAGAGGATCGCCTCGTCTTTTTTAAAGTCTTGGTCTAATATCAGGTTCGACCATGTTTTCCTTGCAAAGTTTCTCTGTCGTCGTCGTTTTAGACTTATGGCGATTATATATGATGAACTCCGGAACAGGAAACAGAAGATTTAACGAGGTCAGGGAGCCTTCAACGATGTGCCTGTAACTGGCATAGCTACTACATCGTAACGCTTCGTTCTATTGTTTCGGGCTGGATTTTCCTCGTTTCGTTTAGTTTCGCTTCTTTGTTCCAGTACGAACGTAGCCGCATCTAGACATAACCTTGAGTCCCTCTTATCAATGGAAGACGGACAGACCAAGCAAAAAAAAGGGGTTTCTTTTTGCAAACACTCGCCGATCACACCCTATAAACAGTCATTTAATTAGACTCAGTTTCTACTGGTTGATAGCGTAGATTAGCTAGGGGCAGTTTTGCTTTATAAGATTTGGCTTGTTCATGCTAATGTTAAAACTAACAGGATTGTCTCAGTATATTCTCTACTATCTATTTCGATAATGAAACCTATTTTCTGTAGCTGTCAGAGCAGCTGACAGAGTGACGTTCGACTACGCGTAATGATCACCTAAGACCTAGCGGGTTGATGACGCCATTACGATGGCGCTTTTGTCGATGCACTTAATTTGCCAAAGTAGGTACGCGTGTGGCTGCAGCTGGTCCCTAAGGCGTGAGCAGTGTGTCAACTTAATGCTAGAATTTCATATATTGATATGACCCATTGGCATCATTCAGTAAATCATAGTTATCGCGTTGCGCTTCTCGTTTAGTTCATAACCGCACTGTAATATTCACTGCGTTTTCTATAAAGAATATGTCAACGGCGCAAAAGACCATTCCCAAACCTAAAATAAGCACAAACTCTATTTTAGCGAGTTGATGTTTGTTACAATTGATGCTTTCTTCCAAGTCCACTTCACGACAAGCTCTAAGCAACCTTATCACCCGTTGAGCGACCGTATCAATCCTTAACCATTCATTACATAAGCTTTTTCGCTCGTTTTTTTTTTTGCTTACGTTACAGGTATAGTTCGGAGGACGAAGAAAGTGGGGGAGGTTGTTCTATGGGCTTTGTGAGCACTTCCGGCAGCTATGCGGGCATTGGCAGTAATTCGGGGGGTGGTTCCGGCGCTAATAACAAACTGAACAAGCTGCGATCGCGTTCGCTGGAGCCTTTGAGCGGGCTGGCGATGTGGAGCAATGAACCACAACTTATCGAGCTGCATAAGGCGGAGCGGGGTCTGGGTTTTAGCATCCTAGACTACCAGGACCCGATGAATCCCAATGAGACGGTGATTGTGATCCGTAGTTTGGTACCGGGTGGAGTGGCCCAACAAGATGGCCGCCTGATACCCGGGGACCGGCTGCTCTTTGTCAATGACGTAAACCTTGAAAACGCTTCGTTGGATGCTGCCGTCCAGGCGTTGAAAGGCGCCGCTAAGGGCCCCGTCCGAATAGGAGTTGCCAAACCCCTCCCGCTACCATGTCCGCATGACGGCAACAATGGCGCCAATGGGGCATCCGCTGGCGACGCAAGTGCTGGGCAGACGCCCTTGGGCGAAACTGGTACGCTTGCTGCGCTCGTCAAATCTGAGAGCTTCTAGACGGAAAACGATGAAAACTGACAATGAGAGAGAACGAATCATTGAACGGAGCACCGTTTGAAGGCAGAAGAGGTCACCGGAAGGAAAAACAGGGAAGAGAACCATATTGCAGAATGAATGCAAATGTGTCGTCTGTGGATGACAAGATCGATAAATTAGCTACAATGTTAAATTTGTGTGTAGTGAATGTAATCGAAGTTTTTTATCGACACTGCCTAGCATCAGCATCTCTTTCTCTGATGTCAGAACATCCAATGAAAATCCATCAGCTGTCCATAAACCTATTCAGCATTCTATTGAGACTTGTTGAAATAGACCGACCTGATCCTCCCTGATGTCAACAAACTTTTGTAAAATTGATAAACCAGTTATTAGAAGGATATTTATATTACCGCTAATGACCTGTCAAAAGTAGAATTGTAGAGGTTAGAAGCTGCAGGGGTCGATAACAGGGTTGATAGAAGTATAGAGCTTCTGGTTTGACACGAAATACACTAATAGTATTAAGATTGTATATCGATGAAAAATCGGAGAGCAATCGATAAAAAAAGACCCTGGGGTTGACAAAATGCTGATGGGCCTCCCAAATTAGGGTTTGGTCGATGTATTCACACTTTAATTGATCACTTCGGGTCAATCGACAAGAACGGTGAATTGACGAAACAAATGAATCAAGCCGGAGTCGCAGGCTTACCTGTCCAAATCGGGCCTTCTGCAATATAGTGAAGTAAAGTTGAAGTTCAAGTAAATGGCGGCCCTCAACCAGACGACAGACATTTTTCTGCTGTAAATTAGTGAAAAGGTGTATAAATCGGATCCAAAATTCCTAGCTACACTGCGGAGAGAAGATCCATGTTGTTAATAATAATACTGCGTACGCAAGCGAAGTTGCGTAAAGCCAGAAGAATATATATAAACGTTTTCGTTGTTCGACACAGAGTACTCCGCTGCACAGCAGGCTAAATGCTGAAACTCACGTTGTCTATGGCAGACAAACAAACACTTCACCCGTCGATTGCTGATACGGAAGACAGACCACCCTCGTTTTGTTCACTCGTTCCAAGAGACCACAAACAGATCATCAGCAAATATCTTACTATTATTAACAATAATAATTATTACTATAGCTAGATATGATAACATGAGAATGTCAGCACACCATTGTTAGGGAGATGCATCACGAAAAATGCTAATGGAAAGACCTAACCACTAGATGAGCCGGCCGTTTTTAGCATAGCTGCAAGTTACAACAAACAAAAGTTAAGAAGCTAAGACAGATAGCAAGCAGAAATGTATGAGTTCGAAGCACGAATTGAAGGAAGATCTGTGAGCAGGAAGGAAGAAAAGCTTATCCTTGCATCCGAGGGCAATCAGTCGATCTGTGCACGGATCGAATGTGACAAAAGATGCGCGTAAAACTCTATATATTATATATATATATACATGATAATGTTATTATACTTCATAGACAAACAAACTGCGAGGGACATTTCAATGTGAAAGCATCCAAGTGTTTGATTATCCGATAAAGAAAAAAACAACAGGGAAGAACTTTAATGATGATAATGGCGATAATTTTTGAAAACGGCACAAGAAACAAAATAGGATCTTCACAAGAAGTGGCTGCGAACGTCACCGCCGAAATTATTACGTAGTGACAAAACTAGTTTTGGGTATTGGCTGACAAAGACACTGAAAAATGAAAAAAAGCCGATTTATTTCGGCAAATTATAAGAGATGTCGTCGATCTGGTTAGCTTTTAGGCCAACCGCTAACTTTTTGAAGGAGTTCAATATATTAAAATTTCTAGCACTCTGTGTCATCCTACAAATAAGCAGTGACGGCAAACATGTAGCACTAGTTTACAACTTGAAATAAAATTGGAACGATGTGCTTTCGATAAAAATTAATTAAAAAAAAGACCAAAAAATAGTATGGAGTCAGATGTTCTATGTAAGGAAAATTTTTAACTACCGTTGATTTCGTTGGTCTTGTGAATATCCCAGAGTACCCTAATGCATAAAAAATGAAGAAATGTTTAGGATACAGGTAAGCTAAATTTATTGTCACGTTTAATACGAGGTAACTACTGGGTCGACGAGGAACGATGTTAATAAGTAAGAAATAGTGGTCGTTGTCCTGTCAAGAAACTCCTGTTAGTTAACGAGAAAAGAAGCTGCGTTCAGCAAAATACAATTGGAAATAAAAACAATTAAACAGACACCACTGGCGAACAAATAGAAGCCTGAAAAGGGCTACAAGAAGTATCAAGTGTGTCCTTAGCGTAGGAATAGTATCGATCCAGGCTATATGGAAAAAAAATGGAATGGAGCTGAAAAATAATTTTCCATTAGATACAAATAAAAAGATGGGGCTCATAATATAAAATACGACGTGTTTTTCTTAGCCCAAAAGGGCTTCACTGTATTCGATGTTATCACTACAAACATAATAAATATGTGATTCCAGACAGACAAATAGAAACGAAAGCTTCATTTGCCCACCTATGCAATACTTCGAGCATCATCGCTCATAGGTGCATTACAGCAGTTTGATGTTTCGAGTTCTTCGAGAGCGTCCGGTAACCTCGTAGAGGTATCGGAAACGGCTGGCTCCCAGCGCAAGACGAAGTCTGGCTATGCACGGGTTCGAACCTACACTATAACGTGTCCCTAAGATTAGCACACAAATAGGTCATCCAGTATGCTATAACAGGGACAACCAATAGTCCGTCTGTCAATAGCCAAGTTTGTATTGTCTATTGTGCCAGTATTTCCATCAGTTGCTTAACTAATCACACATTGTTTCCAAAACGAACAACAATAAGCTGTACATTATGTTCTCATTATTATTAATGACTGTCGCCAAGGCCATGCCATTTTTCGAACGGGTCACATCAGCGTTGTGGCATATACCAGAATGTCATGCAGATACGTTCATAGGCCATCTCATCAATACAGATGGTACGATACTTAAGAGATCTTATTTTACGTGTCACATAGCTGTAAAGTACTACGTGACCGTCACGTTTGCAAACAAGCTTCTCCGGAAGCTCCGGACAATTGTATCGTTTGAAAATACAGCGTATGTGTAGGTAGCTTTCGGAATTTTAGTTGACTTTGAAGCAGGCTAAGAACTACCGATGTATTTCAGGTTCTGATTTACTGTGCCCCCCTAGGAGGGAAGACTGTTGGACAATCTGTTTTGGCGGAATCACTATGAAAGCATTATATAACAATACACTAACAAAAATATATGGAACGACAGCAATGCCATAGTCTGTATGTATGGTTGATTGATTAATGTTGCTGAAATACAAGTTCGCCCTATATAAGTCGAGTCAAGTTTTTAAGCCAAGGCATTACATTTTTTGACTACTATATTACAGTTTCCAGTAAAAAGTGTGAAGGGTCTAGAAGTGCGTTCGGTGTTTTCTTCACAAACCAGTAAATGGTTATCGTCAAATTGGGCAAAAATGTAAAATATATCTCTTTAATATAGAATCGATATTTTGGGGCGAGAAAATATTTCTTTTTCGACAACGTCCGGCAGTCCGTATCAACGTTAGTAGCCGTTACGTAAAGCTCAGTTGGTAAACGACAGATTCGGCCTTACGTAGACGTCGGCGGACGTGACTCAATATTAGGATATCTATCAGAATCCAATAGGAGAACGATTCAACATGTTCTAGCGTTTCCGGAATAGAATCTAAAGCCGACAGTGAACGATTATCGCTGAACGGATTTAATATTTAATAACAAAGACGTATACGTTATACCAAATGTACCGTCTGTTTTGCAAACGGTTTCAGTAAAAAATCTAAAGTTTCAACCATTATTCCTGTATTTAAAAAAATTAAGTAATTATACCATTATATAGCGAAGTAATGGACCTAATTAATGTATAGTGGGTCACTTGCTATCGCTATATCGTTCCATTTACATGTTGCTTTTATCATGAATGCACAAAACCCTAGCGCTTGTTTTAGTCTTTAGTGGCTTATCGAGTGTTTACCTATAAAAATGCATAATTATTTCGCTATAGACTAAACGCTATAGAGCCTAACTCAAAGTGCTCTCCCACTCACTTCCCTTTTGAGGTAGCTATTATTTTCTTTCTGCAATGCGGAAAACTGCTATATATTCGTTATTACTTGATCAGTCATTTAACCTTGTGTTCAGCTTCTGGTGTAGGACACTGCGGTGCTGATCTCGGAGTCTTCTAACTTCAAATTGGGCGCTCCTGGGAAAGGGAAATTGAAAGAGTAGCGCATCGATGCTGACGCTTTCGCGCCAAACCAACGGGCGCATTCGATATTGTCCTGCTGACCGAAGCAGTGGACGTTGTGCTAACGAAATCTATAGGTCTTGTAGACGAGACAAATTTATCAATGTGTAATGTACACAATATTAATATCATTCATTTTGAGAGCTTTTATATTTAATAGCGCCCTGGGTGACGGGAAGCAATCGAAGCAAAGATAAGTGCGTTTCGTGACGAGTGAAAATTTGCAATCATTATGTTGATTAAACCCGAATGGACGACTTTTCGAGCTTCGTGCCCATTTCTAGTTTTTCTTCGATGCTCCTCGTATGTTGACTTGTGCAAGTGGGTTTGTATTGTGGTTAAAGATTTCCATGGTTGAACTTTTCTGTTTGGATAGCCGTATGTTACAAAGAACTTTAGAGTGCACGACGCACAATTTATTTGTCGGCATCTTGAGCTCGAAACTGGTACCAATCAATACGTTATTATTATACATAGAAAATTTTTTGAGCAGAAAGCGCCATCTACCGAGAGCACTAAAATAACACTACCAACATACAGCCCCATCTGACAGCCCTTTTCTATGTACAGTTAGGATTGGGGCCAGTTTTGCTTGAATAAATATACCTAGATTTTGTGTAGGAAGTGTTTGGAAGTTTCTCGATTTCATTCTAACCTCTAAATTCGATTTAATGTCACATACTTGCTCAGTTTAAATAGAAGGAGGCCCCATTCAAACAAGTGTTAGAAGCGGCTTGAATGAGCCACAATGAGTAGTACATTGATAACAATCGGTCTTCATTAATCACTCGATTGACTGGAGTGGGTTGTAGTCGTTAAACACTGAGAGGGCAGTCTAACGTTGCCATTACACTTATAGCAGTCACAAGTGCACAAAATTAACCGAAATTACTTCTTAGTTAGACAGCGTAATATACCAGAACGGAGTAACATGCCAGCAGAGAATGCCCGTTATTAAAATGCTACAGTTACATGGTTTAGTAAGCATTTAATGCTTAATGTCACCTATTTTGTTTTTCAGATTTCAGAACTGTAGGAACGCGGCAAAGCTGAGAGATCTGGACGCCTTTCAGTATGTCTGACTCTGGAGAACTGCATTCGCCTTCGGCGAAGATAACTCGTCGATCACTGTCAAAAAATCCCAAAGTAAAGAGTACTCAATTATCGGCTTAGAAATATACATGTACTAAAATAGTCACCGTAAGAGATATCGTTGATGATAATCTGATATATTAACCAAAAGCTTGTCACTCGGCAAAATCCCTACAATTTTATTAACAGGGTAGAAATTTGGAGAGTACATTCGAAGCGAAAAGTCACGGCGATCGCCTAAATCAGGAGAAAAAAATCAACAGCGCAGAAGCGATGGAACGTGAGGATAGCTACAGTTGTAAGCCACATTCGTTTAATAGGTGTGTGTGTGTCCATATATATATATATATATATAGAGGGACACCTAAAAGCAGACTCTTTTTTATAAGACTACCTTTTAAGACATTTTAAAAATGCAAAGGCTCAAAATGGCCAAAGAGTTTAAAGAAGTACCCAGCCTCAAAAAGACTAAGCGTTGAAGTTTATCTGTACGGCCCAATTACCATTAATATTCTGCTCTTTAAAACAACTTTCAATTTCTACATAAAAGATCCAGGGGGTAAATGGCTTTTTGCGCCGATTTGATTTCCACTAAACGTAATGTTTCATTGACACAGGAAAACTACAGATAAACAATCAAAAGCATATCTGAAACGGAAGCGTGATTCTGCGCCAGGCAGTTCGGGTAAAAGCCTATCAAACGAAGAGCTGGAGACCGATCCCGACGTTCTTATGCGACGACAAAAGCAAATAAATTTTGGCAAAGCGACCGCCGGATACAAGAGGTACCATATTTTTCAAGTCTGAACAGTACATCTTACAGTTCTCCAGTTTCCACTTTAACATTTACGCTCCTAATGTGTAAAACCTTATTCGTTTTCGGTATATGATGGCCGCAAATTATAAGCAGCGTAGGCAATGGTATGTGACAAGAAGGATAGGTTCTAGAAATATTTCCGTATTTTTGATTGAGCAAAACGTTTTTGCAGAACGAATCTAGTAAAACTGCCTTAGCGTTCGGGTCCGCGTTTGAACTACTATTGTACATAGCATACATACCCTAATGTTCGGTAGAGTATATCGATAGCAGGGGCTTGTGGTTCCTTAGACCTTTATTATGTTATATTTCTAATTTCATCTACTACGTCTTTTATAATGCTAGCATTTTACATTAGAATTGAAAGTCTACTCATTGCTTAAATTATCAATAGATGTCTAGTCCATCTTATCGCTTCTTATTCTATTATTCAGATATGTCGAGATGGTACCTCGTGAAAAGCGTACGTCGTTGCATCCCCAGACACCCCGGAAAGAGCTTAAGTACAGCCGGCGCTCTTGGGATATGCAGGTAACGCTATGAACTGACCTGGTATTTATTTTACATACATGCTGACTCTAAAATAACCATTTACCTGGACAAAATTACCCTCGAGCGAAAATGCCGGTTATATCCTTCGGGCAGATCTGCTTAATGCGTTCTCAATACTAACTTATTCCAGATTAAGCTATGGCGGCGCGCTCTACACGTCTACGATCCATTAGAAAATGAGCATAGGTCGGAAAGTTCTGAAGAAAATAACACTCAGGGATCGTCTGGAGAAGACATTAAAAAAGAAATTTCTAAGGAAAATAGGCCACGTATCACACTGAATTAATATAGATGGTTGATGTCGAAAATTGGTACAAGAGATTGATTCAGCTTTATGACTCAATGTTTTATTTGTTCAACAGTGTCGTGTAGAGAACGACAGATAAACTGTAAGCTGGTTTTATTGGCTTGGCCAGTTTGGTAAACAGAATTTTTTTCACACCAGGCACGAACGGACTCAGATCAAAAACCTTGCAGCGAATTTTGTCAGAAATATATGCCTATATGAAAATTCAGTCGCTACATTGGTGGAGTGGTTTTATGAAGGGATGGTTAGAGCTTCGCATTTAAAGGGACTAATTTTCGATGTGCTTTTTTCAAATGTTGTATCTGCTAAATTCATTTTTATTAAAGCATCTTGATGAATCCTTATTGGTCCATTGTTTTATTTCACGTACATCATAATTGCTTGACAATTACAATGTATATAGTGTCATTTTTCAGGCTAAAGGCGTTGTGTTGAAAAACTTGAAGCTCTCCGTTGATAATGGACCGCCAAACAAATCGTTGTTCGGTAGCGCTTTTTTATGGACGAAACAGTTCTCGTCAGTGCGAATGACAATTTCATTGTGAAGTACAGTACACACTGGGCAATTTATGACGCACTGGAACTTCCTTAGTTTGAAGTTCTGACATTCGGCACGTTAATGCACCGTATTTCATTATAATCGAACAATTAAGCTCGAATGGCCATGTAAGTTACTTTTGCTGCTTCGAATAACTAGTCAGCTATCAGTTAAAAACCTTTACTTGGAATATTCGACATGTACAGGCTACTGTCTTTTTACGTACACTACCCGTATAATAACTATCCACAATACTTTTGAAATTTTTTGCAAAGCCGTCTTCGCCTACCAAGTGTCATATGGAAGCATTTAATTGTTTGTAATGCCAGTCGCTGTGTATGAGAGCTAAAAAGACAGCTAGCTATCACACACCCTGGTAAAGTTTTAAATGGCCCTTATTTGTCTATGATTATTTATTTACTGTGTAAAATACTTATCAAAATATATATTTAGTATAAACGGAGCAAATAGGTATCGCGCCAGTCAGAGGTTATATTTGTTTAGATAAAGACCAGATACTAAGATATTTGAGGTGGACGGACAGCTGTCAGCAAAAGCACAGCTGGTAATTATTACCTGCGTATATCTATATACACGTAATTAACGTTTCATATAAGAAGAAAATGGCGGTGTATTTTAAATTAAAATAATCGAGAGTTTACAGCAGAAGAAGGTATAACTATCTATACAACTATCTAAATAGCAAAAATGATACGGCACAAAAAATAGTAAAACAAATATTAATTGTACGTAAGTTATGTAAAATCCTCATTTATTGTTGTGACTATGATTAGAATTTTGAGTAAATATAATACATCAATTGATATCGATTGTAGTATTTGTGACGGTTTAGGATTCTGTGTAAAAATATATTACTATCATCATTTTGATGTCTGAGATTTGTTCGAAGTATGATATGCCGAAACTAACCAATTAAATAACAAAGTAGAGCTGGCCTAAAAAAAGCACATTTAGAATACTTAGGCTAGCTCAATGTTATCACTTTTTTTAAAAAATATTTGTTTAAATACGCTAGCTTCAACAAGCAATTTTAGCTTGTAATGACATGATCCAGCCAGATTAAATTACCGTCTATAAGAGAAGCTGCATCCAAAGGGAATCTTAGCTCTGTCACGTCTGTACGCATATGTGCATCAAGATTTGTATTAATGTACTGCATTGCACTTTTTTTTTTTCGTATACGACAAAATGGAGCTGATAGTAGTAAGGTTCAAGTAATTTTTGTTTTACACTAAAGTTTCACCCAGAAATGATCATATATGTTTCTGAAGGTAGGTATTTTTATTTTTACTAAATTGATTTATCTTCGGGAAAAGTCTTTAACCAAACTTTTTAGTTAACTGATTTAGGATTTTTCGAAATTTAGGTCTTCTATAGTTGGAAAAATCGAAGGAAAAGCATACGTGCCGTTAAGTCTAGTAATTTATGATTTGCATAGCTGCGTTCTTTCTTTTCAATATATATGTATATATAGCTATTGGTTATATATATATATATATATATATATATATATATATATATATATATATATATATAGCTATTAGCAAAAAATATTCAGCAATTCACTCTATTTACAAGCAATAACTAACAGATGCAGCTAGGCCTAACGGTAGCCATTAGGCACATAATGGCACAAAATTTCCCTTCGCCACCAACGAAAAATATCATCGAAGTTTTCGATAGGCACTCGATGCTTGCATGTATTAAAAGTTATTAATCAATCGAAAAATATAAGTTTTTAAAACAGAATTATACAATCTTGGAAAAAATCATGAACGTCGTTGTAATTCTTGTGTTGGTTTAGAAATATCAGCATAAAAAATTATCTTAGTGCAACTTTTTGATTACCCTGTATATATGGCATAATATAAGGCCTTTCGAGTTAAGGGCGATGCTTAAAAGTCGTGGCTGATTTGCGATGGTGGGACTTCGTACGCTCAACGTTTCACAGACAAAATAAACATGGTCAGCTTTAGGCTGACATTACAGAAGTCCGTTGCTTTCCTTTTATCTTTCTGTTAACTGTATACTGCTCTATATATAAGTAGACACGAGTGAGCAACTTGTCTGAATTGCTTTTTCGTGTAAAAGTTTAAGGCAGATTACTATCATATACAATACACGCACTCCGACAAAGAAATCTGTTATTTACAATTGAGGTTTACGCACAAAACTCGTCTCACAGAGATTCCTTTTTCTGTGCGAGCTGGTCGTTAGGTTTAACATCGTTATCCTGGTTAAGATGTCGTCACGTGTTGTATACTAAACTACAGTTCCTTGGGTTCTGTTGGTAGAATAGGCGACTCGTCTCCTTCAATGGCCACGGGAGGAACAAATGCGTCTCTCAATGGCGCCCCGTCTAGTCCACGATCCTTCGATGCGGGAACACCTACTCCCATTCGGGCTATGATGAACTCCCACAAATGCATTTCTAACGCATCTACCCCGGCCAACGATATAGCCATAGGACTACAGCAAAATGAGCCCTGGAATAGTTGCGTTTAAAATAGCCACAAGTTACATACGTGAATAATTAATTCGTTAAATTTTCGTTCTAAAAATTCGTTTATTCATTTCGCACTTATTTTAATGATGATATAGAGTAACGCTCAAAAAAATTGTTGTTTTTCGTGTTTGTATATGACTATCCTGATAACTTTGAATCACTTGCAACATACAACTACATCTGTTCCAGGTGTATTTCCGGATTCTAATACAATTTAACCTTGCTAAGCTCGACGTGTTCAAGAATTATCATGTTAAATACAATTATATATATACCATTGGTGATGTATAGACTGAATCCTTAGAAAAAGTGTCGTACGGGGATATCTTTCTGGTCCGAAGAAGCTTTGCAAGCGGCCTGGCCAGAAAACGCGATCGACCCATGTAGTCCCTCGTGTCGGGCCTGATAATATCGTCGCTGAAAAGAACAGCTATTGAGTCTTCGAGTTCAGCTTCCTCCTCAACGCTGCAATCAGGGCCGAGTGTGTATAGAAGTTGCAAGATAGCTCCATGACTTAGCACAATACCTGGTCATCATAGGGAAAAAGTGGCACAATTTATTTTTTAACTATTTTTCTTTAATCAAACATGATGACCGTACTATCTGAAAAAATATTTTCCTGTCTCTTCAGCAGAGTTTTGTTAGCTCAAGTAGCTAGGAAAATCATAACAAATGTTTGAGTTTTGAACATATCCTATCTATGCTCCTATGCCGTGTCCGACTTGAAGAACAGGTAAGTTGCAAACCGAGTTGTGCTTCCGAGGAGCGAAAAGACAATTAAGTAAGTAGTAGAAAGAGCAACTGCTACTCTTGAGCACAGATCTTTACTATTAGATCCTTTAGTATGAAACGTGACAAACTGATTAGTCTTGTATTTTAATATGGAATTATTTTATAACGGTGCAACACCTAGTGGCACGATTGTTGTATTCGAGGTGTGCTAATACTCTTTGTGATGGAAGAACGTGTACACAAATATCGTCACTTGGGCTTTTGTTGTAGTAATCTGTGAAACATCAGAAAATTTAGATAATCTCGAATACGAGTTCCCTATTGGAATCACTTCGGTAAAGACTGTTCGTCGTATAACCCTTATTTTTGCTGAAGGCTCTACTACTAAAAACACCATAAGACGTACGTCAAAAAAAATTAGAAGGGAATTCAAAACAGTCAAATAGGTCTTTTTGATCTTTCCGGCCCTCGATGACGGTCGCATCGGTAGGCGAATAGAACTGAGACATAGCCCTAAAACTAATGTACCGTTTCAAAACTCCATAGCGTCTGTTTGGGGTCTCCAGGTGTGTGAATTTTGGTTCGTCACTTACGACTGAAGTAAACAGTCAAAAATTGGAGCAAATAATGAAAAACATTGCATTATGTAGCCAAGAATAATGAACAGTGGTAAACCGTTCCTATTGCACGACAATGTTCGATTTCAGGCCGCAAGAATCACAGTGGCAAAAATATAGGAGTAACAGTTGGAGGCTTTCTGTCATCCGCCATGCTTTCCAGACTACCGTTCTTTCCATATTTCGATAACACCTTAATAAGAGAATTATTCAAATTCAAATTTCAACAACGTATCATAATTGCAAAACTTCATAAACTTTCCTATAGCAGCGGAATAAGTAAGTTGCCACCCATACACCGAAACGTCATAAGTAATAATAACGCATAATCCTATTAACTTTAAAAAAAACTAAGCGAAAAGTTTTAATGGTTGAGGTTAATTACGTCACGTTCTATGCTAAACGACCTAATACTAAAAATGGTTAAAAATGGAAGTTAAACCTACAGATAACTATACAGTAACGCATTGTTTACTTTTGAAGACTTCATCTTAGGCGTTTTCAAACTAAGTAGTAAATATTAAACTGTTTACCTCCTCTGGCCACGTTGACAGTTAGCGGTCTGTGAGGTGCTGCTGATCCAAATCGTGGGATCCACTTTTTAACGGCATGCCCAAGGTAGTGGATATCGGAAGAGTTCAGTGGAGCCACCATTCTGCCTCAAAAGTTGAGTAAACGTTAGATAGATTTTTTAGGCATCTTGCGCCATGCACGATGGTTGTCGAAAGAATAAAATCATAGAGTGTGTCACAGCAGCCTTACCTGCGAAGGTTCTCGATGACCGCGAAGGTTGTGTCACTGGCTAAAAATACCCACCTATTTTGCTTTCCCTGAAAACGCTTGAGAAATACCTTGAAGCATAAATAAGGTAAATCATTATGGGTTACAGCTTCATTCTAAAGTGTTTACTGTTGACAATGCTTTTTCAACCAGGCAATCCGTCCATATTTATTAACGAAATTTCTTTCTGCTTCCAAAACGTTCGTAACATTATACTCATTATGCGTAATTACGTAATATTACGTAATGTAACGATCGCATTACGTTATGTAAACGATTACTTAACTTGATATATATATATATATATATATATATATATGAATACTTTTAATAACCTCTCGGATCGTGCGACACAGTAGATGGCCGTCCTCAGATACTTTCACCGTTGTGGGCACAAACTTATCTTCAAAGTTTGCCACAAAATCAAGGGAATTACAATGGCGACCCCAGGTACCGACAACGGCGCGCGCCTACAACCATAAAAAAAAAAGTTAAGTTTAACCCACTGATACTTAAACCAAGCGTCAATGTTGCCCTTTGCAGCAAAAAGTTCACCACAGTAATATCCACTTCGTGCTAATTACATCAGGTACCTCCTGTCCAATACGGGAAATTGTTTGTTTACCAATGGGATATATAACATATCGACCGACAATTTAATGCTTCATAATTGTTAGTTAACTGATAAAAAAAGTCTCCAGTGATTAGGATGATGTATATTTACCTGGCGTCGATTAGAACTAAACACGATGCACGTGATGGGTACGCGATCAAAGAGGTACTGCGCTTCTGAGACGTTTATTCCAGCTTTGTAGAGATCTCGTTGAATGCTGGAGATCCTAGTGACGCCTTCTTCAGAGAGCCATCGAATGTACATATGCTCCTTAAGAACCGACGAAATCATCGAAAAATACAAACGAATCATAATTATTAATTTTATCATATGAAGCCTAGGTATATGATACGTATTGCTCAGATTTGGATAATAACTGGCAAACGCTGTTGCCGATTAATAAAACCTGCACTCTTGGCTAATGAAATACGTCATAATCACTAGCATATATTTTCAACAGGAAGTCGGAACGACATGTAAAGCAAGTTTATCGAGAAAAAGCATTTCACCAGATCAACAAAACGATCCAACTAAATACTACTGATGGGTTAGAGCAATTGTAGTCGACGTTATATTATATATATTATAAAACTTAATATATGTACCAGTATTTCTAAGAGGATTACCAACTATTTTAAAACAAACTTTGTTTATGATCATTCTTAACATTGCACTACCGTCTTTTACTATTGTCATCACAAAAATTAACTACAAGAAAAATGGCACGCCGACTACCGATCCTAATTTCATTTTTATACATTTATATAATATTAAACCGGCAGAAATTGGCATTGCTAGGTCTAGAACTCGCCTAGGCGGCCTCATTGTTATGTATCGTACACGAAAATTTCTGGTATGAATAAAGTTCTTTTGCCTTATGTAATAATAAACTAAATGTACGTAGTGATGTATAGTAAGAATGATCGATGTACTCAACGAGCTTTACCTCTGTGAGATTGTGGTTCGATGTAACGCTTATCTGGTTCGATTGCCCGATAATAAGACGAAAAAAGATAAACGCTACCAGGGAACCCAACAGAACACCTGTCAGGAATATGAGATAACGGCGCCCCCAGTGGCAGTAGCAGCGACCCGGTCGACAGGGCCATAATTCTCTTTGAAGCCATTGCACCATCTAGCGCATTAGCGGAGAGTAAGTTAAGAAACAGTTGAATGTACATTTCATCCGAGACTAAAAACAAGCTGAAATGAAAAACTTAAACGTATTTGGTAAGTTTGCAACGAGCTCTGCTGTACATAAATGCAGTCGTGAACAGCTTGCCATCTGCAAGTCCTGATTGCGCTTGTAGCGCCGGTGGCCTAATTAATCTACTTGGGAGAATAGAATAAATAGATCAATTCAACAAGATGCCGACTAGTAACGGACGCCAAAGATTTGCATTTGTGTATAAACAGGCCGCATTGGCGAGGAGTTGTAAGGTTCCAGAATATAAATCAGAAGCAAAGGGCATTTTAGGTCACAGTTTAACACTAATACATTAGACTTAAACCCCACAGACTAAAACGTTTGTAAAATTCGTTTCGCACATAAGGTCAGGTCAAGTTGTTTGTGGTTTGAACATTGACACCAATTAGGCGCATTTACTTAACGCTTATCTTATATATATGCTAGGTTTTATGTGTAAAACATAGATGAATACTCACTTTAAACATTGCAGAAATGGGCTTTCCATTAATTTTCCAAGGCCCTTGGTAACGTTTTGTTCGGCTTGCCTATTGCAGAGTCAGAGAGAGGGATGACAACAACGACGCCACTGTGAACGACTAAAATAGTTAATTTACCACTAACAAATGCTATTTCTATTTGTTTGTCTTGCTCCTACGGATAATCGGACGCCAGACTATCAGGAATTGAATATCGCTCGTATCACCTTTGTGGTACATCGAATAGACGCTAACTAAATGAAATATATTCTCATTCTCGCGAAACTGGACATAATTACATTACAACAATTTTCTAAAAAAAAATTAGCAAGCTTTCACTTACTGAAAAATTCTAGTTAGAAACGAAAGTCGCGGGGTAGATCTGGAAAAGCTTGTTCCTTCGACTTGCTCGATTATTCGTCTGGAACGACGCTGGATCACGTAATCTGTAGCCGTGCAGACTTCAACAGACAAGCATCGTTGTAAATACGTAGAGTAAGGTAAAAAAAACGAAATGTAATTAGGATCCATTAGCTAATTGTAAGCCTGTCGTCGTTAGGCGGTGAACATCGGAACAAACATTGTGCCATTATCAGAAACTATTATTGACACTACCATAGGTGACAGAGACCTAGGTTTGTCCAGACTGGCACGAAATGATTTGACAGTAGAAGAGGAAACGGTTTCATAGACGGTAAGATATGAGTACAGTATCATACGCTGCCCGGCAAAATACGATATATTGTCGTTGGATGCTTTCTTACGACCAACTATCAAAACAGAGTAAAATAGATCTTTTAGAACAACATCGTATGATAGGCTAAAACGTACACCGACGGGCTCTGTTTGAAAAACATCGAGAGGCACGTTGCTTTGTTCATTGTTATTCACGATCTGTAGTAAATGCTCGAGTTAAATAAATGCTCTAGTTAATAAATAACTGGGCCATTGATCGACGAATGCGTTTGACATAAGTAACATACTAATAAGATAGCTGAAATAATTTTAGGATAGCTTTAATCGGTCTATCCGTAAACCATTTCGACCATTACAAACGGTCTCCTTATAATAATAAAGCAGGTAAGGAAGAAGGTTCATAATAATTAAGCAGGTAAGGAAGACGATCTACCGAGGTCCTACGCCACCGCCCACTGCTTCGAGGTATTCAGGTAAATCGTTTATTCCTTTGAGGGCTGCAGTCCCTCAGACACCCCTAATAAGGTTTTAAACAAACTTTTGTCGTATAGCATATTTTAATTGCAGAAGGGTCAAAGGGTAAATTGATCCGGGATTTGCCATGTTTCTACTTATTTTCTATAAGTTCATACAATAATTGAAAGAGCACAACGCAGGAGTGCAGCGTAGCTATCGATCTGGAAGCACTAGGGACGTTGCTTCCGTACTACATAAAGCGGCAATTTGGCACGGGCGAAACCTGTCGAAGTCGTCATTTGTTCAACCTTATGCGATACCTGATAACCTACCAGTGAACCGATTATTGGTGTGGTCGCAATTCCAGTAAGACCGTTTGATTTTGAACATTATATAATACCTCATGCAATTCCTACTATGCAATGTCGCTTGACGGTAGACTATTGTCTTCCACAGTGGCAACAACAGCTACCCGAAAAAAGGTGGTCAGATTCCCATGCGCCAGTTACCACGCTGAGTACTAATATGCGGCAACCGGCCTTCAAACTGGGCAGCAATGATATCAGAGATACCTATACCCGTCCCTTTTTAAAGTTTGTTTTGATAGAACTTTCGGCTTTGGTGTGTTAAGTACTGACGGGTATGCTCGCACAAATCGACCCTTCTCGTAGTCCTCTCAGCAGCCAACACCTCACTGCGGTCCCCAATATAGTTGGCGCCGGAGGATACTTGATGATTTATGAAGTCTGCTGTATTATGTTTATTATAACACCCACGCGATTGCCCTCTATGCAGAAGGAAGCGTTTCGAATGTCTAGATGCTTATGAGAATCGGTAAGATTCGTATATGCGAAAAACTATCGTTTCTGCATTATCTCGTTAAGGATTTATAGATCATCGACTAGGTTAGTTGGAAAAACCTGTTATAGAGGTATAATCGGTCTAGTGGGAAATTGTCGCGACGATTTTTACAAACTAATATATCTAGCAACTATTCTGCATTAAATTGCTACCGGTTCTTGAGCCCCTACCGACAAGTGACAGTGGTTTTGGTTCGGTACTTACACAACCTGATAACACACTACGCGTATACTTGTTGATCAGTTTACAATCCGTATATTAATAGCCAACAAAAAGACCGTTAGTTTATTCTTAACACACTTTTATTGATTTTTATTTTTTTATAATCCGTGACGTCCGTTCGTCGTTGCATTGGTCTTCCGATGAAATGAACTTCTCCCAATAATCGGGTCCTCTTTTTCAATACTAGTCGCTACCACAAGCTAACGTCGACCTCTGACGCTATCAAAGAGCAATAGAAACTGTTCAAAGCTTCTACTAAGCTTACTCTAATTACTACCGATGTGAAATATGGTCCCCGCCAAAAATGTATACCTCCATCATATGGCAAGCTCATATACGCATTCACATCCGAACTAAACTCTTTAGAGACACAGATTTCTACCCTTCATCGTGTACAGACGATCGTATCGATGAATTTTACTTCGTTCCGGAGTCGAATGATCTTCTGCATAACATTTCTAATTTACTCGTACTTCTGTAGGTGCACATCATCGTTAGGCAATCCGAGAAATCTACCAGCCGGACCGGCCAGTATCTATCTCACCAGATCTATCAACAATGCCATTGCTATCGATGTCCCAGTTGCATTACATTTAGAATATTGTCGCCATATTGGTCAAAGTGTATTTATAGTTTAGACAGCCTCTAGTATGTGTCGCTACTTCCCATCTCGAGTCTGGAAAAAGTCGTTTTGTAAATTGAGCTCTAATAATATCGTATATCTATAGAAATCGATATTCGAGTATTCAAGTTAAAAGGAGGATTGGGGCGGCAAATGAGGACCACAACTCAGTTTTGGCGAGGACTCGTACATTGAGTGTCGATGCTTCCAATATACTTATACTAATCCTTTCTCCATTCCCTTTTGTCTCACACCCATCTCTTGTCAATCGCTCGCCATATATATATATATATATATATATATATATATATATATATTGGCGTCGTACAAAATATATTATGTACACTCTCAATTCTTGTTGTGTATATAGTTTTGTCGTTTGAGTCCTACCTGTTCGAGTCTTTTACTGCTGCTAATTATCGGTTAGTCGTTTGCGACCTCTATTTTCATCCTTTTATGATAGTAATTAATGATATAATCTGTTATACTAATTGAACTAGTCATCTGAATATGCTCCACTTGCCGATAATACCACCGTGGTCTGTCAATCTACTGAGAGAGCCCGGGAAGGCGATTCCCTGAGGGAGTTGTCGTCAGTGGGAACTCTGCGTTTACCCGACTACCGACAATAGATCCACATAGCAGCAGCACTACCATATATATATATATGTCTTATGCTTATTAAGCGTTTCATGTTTAGTTGAATAGGGACCGATCGGTGTTCGGATGAATTGCATTCTGCAAGCGAATCGAAAATTACAGAGACAACTCTGTGATATTTCTCCGTTGTGTGCCGTTCATTCTGCGTCTTGCGCTAGGTTTTCCAGAACGCCCGTTCGTGTTTTTGTGTCAAGCTATATTTACAATGATATAATTGTATCGTCTCAGATTATAGCCGATAGCTCCACGATGCTTCTTTTGAGATAGATCACCACGTAATTTTCAGCTTTTGCTATATTTGTATAGGCTCTGTTGTCCTTTACTGAAATATCAAAAACAACATTTACTATGATCTCAGCAGAAGCTTCGTCTATTCGCTGTTCTTCGTGTTTGTTCGACGATGAACAAGTTGTTATGTGACGCTACTGCTGCTGCCTGGTGGTCCCGTAACCTTTTGGTAGAGTAGATGCGTCTGGCGTTGTTAGCTGCTACGCTACGTTCGAGAGACTGGCTAAAAAGAACGTACAAGCATCGCGACTGAATTATCAATGGTAATTAGTCCAATTGCGTTTCGAAGCGTTTGGATACAGTAAATAAATTGATCTAACAACGATTTGCAACAGGGCGCAGGATCTGTCGAGATTCATCGTGGCGCGAAAATCGTTGTCTCGTAGATGAATACGACATAGCTGAAGATGTCCACTGAACAGGTACGCGGCAGCGTTACATTTGCATCCGTTACAGGCCAATCAAAATGGTTACCAGGCCAAGGATAATAAAATAGCCACGTTGCTCGGAATCATGCGTTCATTCCTAGATGGGAAATCCGGCCAAATTGTTGCTGTCGCCATACACGTTTCGCTTTCTTCATGTGTATCTGTATGTCTATACTAAAAACAATGTCAAAAACCAACAGAAAAGAGCGTGAAACACATTTTCATAGTGTGACTAGCGTGGGCGTATATTTCTCAGCTGGTTATTTTTTTCATTTTCTACACGTGCGGCATTTTTAGCTTTCTCTCACTGCCATTTTCGCCCACTTCCGTTTATCATTTTAGCAAAAATCGTTCTTTTGTCACGAGACACGCTACCCGCCCCATGTCATTATGTCTTGTTATTGGACGATCCTGACATATCGGGGTCAAAAGGTCAGCTAAACCTCGTATGCTTCCTTTTCTAGACCTAACGTTTCTGCGCATCCGGTCTACCATGTTACTAATTCAGCTACTAAACTATACAGAAACATTTCCTAGGTTGTGTTACAAAAAGACACTATTGTGTCTTTTTGAAGCTGACCGCAATTCCGTCTGACGCCGTACCCAGGTTAGCCGTTCCGCTATTCTGTGATATGAAGTGATACGTTTTCGCAACACCTTACTAGACGCACTATTCTAAACCTGTATAGGCACTATTCAGGTTTTCGGACGTTCATTGTATCAACAGGCCACATTCACGGCTCGCGTGTGCCTAAACTTGATCTTTGCATATGTATAATAGAATAGCTTAGGATCGAATATATATAACGCCAATAACATCTATTGTTGTCACAGAATTCGGTTATTGATAAATGGATCCGCCTCGCACGCAAGTAGGCACGATCTCAACTCTAAGCAATGGTTATGCACTTGACCCTGTCGACACGTTAGGTGCGCGTCCGCTCCAGGCGCATGCTTCATGGTAAGAACACAAAAGGAACGCCACCATGTCACGATTCTGGAACAGGGGTAGCAACTACGTATTTACTATTCCACCGCGTCACTCCCTTTTCTCGTTGTTCTGGACTCGTTTTGCGACGCGATCCTAAAAATCCTAAAAAGCTGTTATAAATTCGCTGACGCGTATCATCTTTGACGTCTGTTGTTTGCTTCCGCATCTCTCGTACGTCTCTCACCGCCTGTCCTTTACTGGCCTTTGCTCAGCATCTTCACATAATGGCAGTATATCGTCCCGAAATAATTCGTCTCTTGATCAGTGACAGGCGATAGCCGCAGGCCGGAGCTAGTGTAAACGACGCGTCGCTAAAACAGGCGTCCTCGATAGAAAACGCTGCAGCGACTTCCCCAGGGGGATCGGAGAGCAGCGGCTCCTCGTGCTGGAAACGTGCTAGTATTGAACCGGCTTTAATGTTGGACACCTTCCATGAGGCCTTCTTGGCGGCGCTATTCCAACTGCAGGGTGGCTTCGAGTGTACGTTGCTCACAGAGGCGGTCGGGGGCAATGTGACCGTGACGAGACCGTTGCACGGTCGTTGTGCCCATCGATCCGTCGCGTTGTACAAGTAGTCCACCTTGAGGTCGGACTTGGCTGAGTCGCAGTTCCAGTAGGTGACGAGGTGAAGCGGAGCCAGCGAGGCCCCCGTACCTCCGGCCAAACTATACTTCATCAGATCAACGTTGAAGTAGGTCTGGCCGGGCTGGGCGTCGTATAGACGTTTCAACTGCGCCAACAGCTCGGCCATCTCGACGCGAAAGGTGCCCGGCTGATCTTCAAAGGCGTTCACCAGCAGCGAATTCGGCACAAGATTATCTGGCGGCAGATTGCCTAGAGAGAAAACAAGCTGAGGAGGACTGGGGTGCGACAGTAGCGCCCCGAGGATGCCTACCGGAAAGGACATCTTCATGTCGCCAAAGATGCGCACCTGGCACAGAGACTCCTCAGCGCCGCGGAACGACGCGTGAACGACTTCCTGGAACGCGACAGCTACAGGGATTGTATCACCGTAGCCGAGCGTCAGGGGTGACGGGCCTCGTGAAAATCCCGTACCGCCACCGGTTGACACGGAGCCAATAGAGGTGACCGACTCGGCACGAGTCATCGGCGATGGTGATGACCGGTCGACGGAACGGCGGGATGGCGGCCGAGGTATGACGTTGGATCGAGGTAGCGTGGGAGGATGGTGCTGACTGAGCGCTTGTAGCGGCTGCGATTGGTCGGTGACTGGTGGCGTGCGATTTCCGTTGTTGCCGTTGAACTCAGGACTCAGCACTTGCGGAGTCATCTTCGCCGGCGGCGACACCAGTCGCGCCGGTTGCGCCAGCGGCAGGTTGCTCGATACAACAGCTTCCGAGATGGGTTTGATCTTGATCACAAGCTTCTTCTGGAACTCAGCTTCGTCATCGCTACTATCATCACTCGAACTATCCTCGTTCGAAACACCTGAAGTTGCCTTGTGGTGATGCGAGGCCGGAGCTGTTGATGCTGCCGGCGGCGGCGGAACACTGAAGCCATCTTCATCGACAAATGGAGCTGGACTCACCGAGGTGGCGAAGGCTGCGGAACCGAAGGACGACTGCTGCTGCTGCTGCTGCTGCTGCTGCAGTAGCTGGTGTGTAGCATTGTTGCTGCTGCCCTGACTTCCCTGACCTCCGCTACCTACTTCGGGGCTGTTGTTGTCGCTCTTGCTGGTCGATTTATTCCGTCCGCGTAGGGTCAAGTTCCTACCCAAGAACTCGTACAGTGTTGACTGCGACGACTGGTGCGTGATGCCTCCATGCGGGTGCTGGCCATGATGTCCCATTGCAACGGTTGATCCCATTGTCACGCCGCCCATAGCATTTCCCGCAATGCCGCCTATACCAGCCACCGTCCCGCCACTGGCTGATGTCGCCATTGCTTGCTGCTGCTGGTGTTGTATACTATTCGCACTGCTACTATGGCTGGTGAGGCCACTCGCCCGGAACACGTCCTCCGAACTTTGCGAATGGAGGTGCGTACGGAGCAGCGAGTGGCTCGATAGAGGCGGGGTTGTGTCTTGTAATGGTTTGTGCGGCTCGGGTCGGTCTCGTCCTGTGCCACGATCAGCGCAGAAGCGCTCGAGCAACGCTTCGATACTTAACGAGTCGACATTACTTTGCAGATCGCTGCACATCGACGCGCACAGCGCATAGCTGTTCACCAATGTGTGAATATAATTATCGATGAAGCTCTTGATGGCACTGAGGTGGTTTTCCTCAAGAACCTGAAAGCGGGTGCAGGCCTCGCCCATCCTCTGTATAAAGATCAGCCTCGCCTGCTCGTAACGTTCGCCCTGCGTCCGAAAATCGTCAAGGGCCTTCTTGCGCTTCAGCTCGTTACCTTCGCTGCCTCCACTTCGGCGTGACTCGCACGCTTCGCGGGCTTTTGACAGTAACAGAGTATTCTGTTGCAGTGCTTGGACCGCTTCCATCGTTTGTGCCTCTTCATCCTTAATGGCCTTGTGTCGTCGATGTTGTTCATCGGCGTAGCGTACGAGCTCCTTGACAGAATCAGCTAACTGGTGCGCAAGCTGGGCATGCACCGAAGCCGCTTTTTCCGTCGAGCTACGCAAGGCCGCCCATAATGGCGCCACCGACGACGCGCTGCCGAGCAGACGTGACGAAGCGAGCTTGGCTAATAGCTTCGAGTAGCTCTCTTCGATTTGACTGCGTTCACGCACGAAGTCGACGAGCTCTTTGGCCGTTGCGTGACTTTGTTTGGCGTTGCGATAAAGCAGCTCGAATCCAGTGTTCCGGTCCCCCCAGAAGTGCTCCCGGAAGTCGACTGTCATCGTGAATTTAGTGATGGGGCTGACGCCTTATCAGATAAATGAAGTCAATTTTCAGTTTTTTGAATTTTCTGTGGATCTTTTCACTTGATCTGTGGATTATTATCCGCCTGTTAGTAAGTCGTCGGGGCTGGTGCCGTGGCTGCCGTTGTGATTGGTGCTATTGAAGATAAGAAAGAAAAAGTTTTTCGGAGGTTTCTTCTTTGGAGAACATCGACGGAAGACGGGTGCGCGGACGCGGAGGACCCTGGAGGGTTTCTTCCTGGGCACTCCGGTCAGCTTGTTGATCGCCAGATGCCGGCGGTGATAATATGAGACAGGTGTTCTGCAACTACATGAGAAACAACAACAACAACAACAACAACAACAGTTCTGATGAACGTGTACCGCTCGGCTCGATACAGGATGCACGACACTTTTTTAGAACAGTATTGTTGTAAGTCAATACCGAATGATATCCGCTAAGTGATGGGGCCTAATGTCAATGGGGCAAGTATACTGGGAAGTAATGATATCCTATAAACTGCATCTCTACGATGTTCTTGTCACTTCAAAAAGTATATACGTTTACTCTAACGGTAGTTTTTAGCTTGTTACATAGATTTAGTACAGCTGAGCAACAGAAGCTCAAGCATTATGACGAGCAGTCTCCACAGTTGGCCAAAATTACTACGGAGATCAGTATTTCATCGAATTGAAGACAAAAGCCTATATAGAATATGGTCTGGAATAAATAGACTAATGATCTGTACGAAGCAGACGCATTTTAGAACGTCAGTAGGGCGGGAATCGACCAAATCTATAAATAGTCTACATAGGGTGTTCAGCGTAGCATCCTCACCAACGAAATCAAACGGCGATTATCCTAATTCAATTCCAGTGAGCATCACCTAACTCGAATTACAATGGGCCATTTAAATTCTACGAAAAACAAGCTCGGGTAACCACTCGTATCGTCGATAAGGGTTGATTATAATTAATACTATACAGTCAATTGCAAACAAACTGGAGGACTCCTGTAAAACAGTTATCGACAGCCATTCAGAATCGGATACCGTAAATGATACGTATCTTACGTGCCAACTATCATCAGCGCCACCGTTGCTACACCGGCTGTCATGAAATGCATAGGGGCGTACACGTTGAAAGGACGATTAGAATAAACGAAGCCATCGCACTCGATGAAATAAATGTTAAGCTCCGTATGCTAGCGTTCCGTAACGTGAACACCCAATACAAATCGACAGCACTACTAGCTTCATTTATCAATAAGGCGTTCATAAGTTCCGTACGGCAAAACTGGACAAAATCTACAACGAGAAAAACTCCATACAATGCAGATCTCCATGCAACGAAGCCGTGTTTTAGTTGAAACGATAGGCACACAAGGGGACGAAATCCGAAATTGTGTTACCGACCCAGATAAAATCAGCGGCGACAAAAATACTCTTTCCGGTAACAAAAAGTTATCACATAGAATTGTAGCTTGTACCGATGTACGCATATATAAGATCCACAAAGCTCCGTAAGTATCTGCAATCGACGCCACTAATATATATATATATATATAGCGTGGCATTCGAGTTACGTCTGAAAGTTAGAACTCGATAGCAGTAAAACGTGCTAACAATGTTGGAATAGTTTATTCAGGTTTCAAATAGGTCTTGAAGATGAGTGGCGATTTGTGTAAAAAATCGCTACATTTGACAGTTTTATTACGATAAAAAAAAGCCCAGCAGCCGTCCAGGCCTATAAAAGGAACTGAGCAGTTTATAGTCAGGACGCGTAAGCGGAAAAAAGTGGCCCTTTCATTCTAAAGAAATTAAACGTGAAAGATACTCCTTATTGGCGGTCGACAAGTTACGAAAGAGGTTGATGACGAGAGTTGAGCACGACCAACACGTGGGTCGTAAGCGTGGTATCGCCAAGTAACTAAACACCAATCAACAAATAGTTCTAAAAAAGTCAACTAAAAAAAAAGGCTCGATGTTTGGATGTAAAGTAATTTACCTGATCATCTGTGCAACTCTACAGAAACGCAACAAGATCGAGTCATTATTAAAGCGATTGACAGCGGGCGATCTACAATAAATTACATAAAATAATCATATGCTCCACAATCTGTTGCCGAACAATGAAGCGGTGGTGTACGCTTTGGTGGAATCGTTCGTTATCAGTTACTACCGTTTAGCAAAACCATTGACTCGTACTTTGACCGTTAATGACTAACAGGGTTGCAATAAGCCAATGAAAAGGTCTGACCGGAACTGATACGGAACCGAAAGGGCGTCCTTTTTTTCGCCATGACAATTGCAGACTACGACCCGGCGGAAGTTCGAAAAGCTTCATTGACGGTGGATGTATTAAGATTGAGAAGTTTCAATCTATTCACCGTCTAGTTCAAACCGTCAGGCTATGTATTTGTTTCGGTCTCTGCAAGACGCTCTCAGTTGTGTTGATTCAGCTTCAATAAAGGGATACTCGTTACAATTTGCCGTCCAGAAAACACAGAAGTTTTGCGCCAGAAAAATGGCGAAGGGTCACGGATCAAAATGGTTAATGGTTAATTTAATCATATTGTTTTAAAACAAGAAACGTTTGCTTTAATTTTAACCTGTATGCAGCCAATACGTTTCCCTTTTTAAACTCGCAATAGAGTGTTTGAAAGCTTTAGTTAGCGGAAGGAAATTGGTTATGTTTAATCTTGTTGAATCAGATCCGATGTTTAATCTTCCGCGGAGTTAATCGCTAACACACACACACACACGCAAACAGCGAGAAGAATGCAAAAAAAAAAACATAACAAATCGCTATGATCAATTGGTAGTAATGTGAGTTGCCAAAAGTGAGCTTCGTAGCTACCTGCATCAACATTCATTACCGTCAAGTTAACCTTAGTTCGCTCTCGCCCCAACCGTCTAAATGTCCTACTTTTATATATAATAAAAAAAATTTTTAAGCACTGGGTTTCTATGACATCGACTTCGTGTTTATTTATAATAAAGTAACAATCGACCAACTAAGAACATATTCACAACTGGCTAGGGTTACAAAAGTACTGCTAACGATTACCATTCTCCTTTTATATATTTTTTCGTTTTTAACAAAGATGAGTCATTCTTCCAGTTAGTTGTAATCCACAAATAGTTGATCCTAAAAAGAGGTCAGTTTTAGAAACAGCGTCTGACATATTTACGCTGAAGGGTACAGTAAAAGCCTCGAGTAGAAAATATCTACACAAATATAGCTGTCAGCCAGAAGAATAACAGAAGACCACCGACGGCCTGTTTTCACCGGGCCTGCGTAACCTATTAGACACGTATTTGGTTAAGAGCGAATCGTTGTATATTCATACGCCTTTTCCCATAAAAAGTCACCTCTCGGAGAAACATCACTTAAAATAATAGCATACCGGTTCAGGATAAAATTGTTAAAATTGGAGAAATATCCGTACATTTCTTGACGCTAAACTTCATTATAGCCCAGACTGCGGGTAGAAACAACAACAACAATACCTATTACTATTGCGAGACCGTATCTGTTCACGTAGAATGTCTGTAATTACCGAGGGTTGCACGGGCAAATTGGAGAAATGCGTACGAGCACTATTGGAGTAATCGCAAATTGAATAATAGCGTTTACTGACTAACAAAAGATGTCACGGAATAGGACCGGACTCGGTCTCTACGTGACATTATTTTTTTACATTTTTATCACTCATTTTCTAAGTGATCGCAGTGCCTGCTGTATGAGTGGGCGGCCAGCCATAAGAGATACTGAATAACTCATTATTAGTATCTATTTTCAATGCCAGTCTTATTTTAATAGATGAAACAACAAAACCTGTATTTGATGCGCGTTAAGTGATTGGACGGGACAAGTTCTCTATGTAATAATGCAGCGAATTTTTACGTAAATGAATCTAAATCAACTATATTCTTTATATCACTGAAACTTCCCATGCATCTCGGAGTCGTGACTGGACACCACCTCTGTAGTTGGTTTCGCGCAATGAAGGCCACCGCAAAGGCCATTCTGTACGTCTCCGACTGGAGATAACAACCATGTGGCAGAAATGATCATTATTGCTTTAATTCCTGAAAGCCTATAGGTTTCCTAGGACAGAGAAAAAAAGGTCGTCGTTACCGTAGAGCATGTGTTGTCCCATATATCTTGACCGTCCTCGAGAGTAGGGGATAGATTTTTATCATCGATTACTACCGATTGACTTTCTTTTGTCTCCTCCAATCGCTCTGGGGATCTTCACGATAATACCCGTTCTATCTACTGCGATCCAGGCACTTGTCGAATACTCTCTCGCTATTGCTCATCAAATAACACTGGCACATTGAAAAACTGAAACAGTTAGCGCCATCGCCTTTCACGATCGACAGTAACTATAACGGGTGCAGCCGGACCAAGGCGTCACAAAATGACGGAGCTCTGACACTTGTAAAGGGCCCTTAAGCTAAGTCAGTGATTGCGGTTGATGTGCAATAAGTCTTAGTGGTCACCTTGGTGCCAATGTAAGAGAACGTTATCTTGCCTAGCAACCATAATAATGATGTAATTGGAAAAAAAGCTACGTTCTACTGTGGCCGCATTTGAAAATACGTGTTTGTTGACTAAAGCAACACAAGAGTTGGTCGACACTTACAGACACCCCTACGCCATTAAATAATATTACTATGATCTCTATGGTTGACGTTCGTTTCTTACTGGCCAAAATATTCGAAGGGCCTTTCACTTTTTTTAAAATTCCTGGCGGTGACTATGATGCTATGAAGCCAAATTATGGGTTAATTAGCGGTCATTTTTCAGCCCCTCCCTCAATATAGAAGGAATGTACTATTAGTAATGTGCAATATTTTCACCGGCTATTTTTGATATGCATGCACACGCGTATAAGTACTACAAAAACATTAACAAACTTTTAATTTATACAGAACGACCCATCTATCGAGTGTCAACCATACTATGTACACTGCGGATACTTAAGGGTTCTTCACGTTCGGATCATAATTACAAGAAGATTTTTTAGACATAAAAACAAAAACGCTAGGTTGACAATGTGAACCCAAATAAGCACGATGAAATGATTGTGACATGTTATATCGACAAATCCGTGATTTTTAAAAATTTGTTTGCACATAAATTCATCTTTGCCTACCCAAGTGGGGTTGATAGGTTAGAAAAGCATATTCTATTCTCTCGTTCCCTCTCATATATATACATATTATATATATATATATAGGCAATGTTGGATGAATAATTGAATATAAAAGCATTTTCAATACCTTAAAACTGTACAACGTTCAACTTTGCGTGTCG